GAATGTAGTAGTGTTAGGATTACAGACAAGAGCTATTGCATTGGGCAAGAAAAGGAAATAAAAAGAAAGAAAGAAAGAGGAAGGAAGGGAGAGGAGGAAGGTAAGGAAGAAAGGAAGGAAGGAAGGAAGGGAGGAAGGAAGGGAGGAAGGGAGGGAGGAAGGAAAGATCCCAGAACCAAAGTCAGCCATCAGGCTTGTGTGGCCAACACTTTTACCTGCCGAACCATCTCACCATCCTGAGGTCTCAGCTAGTTTTAATTAGCCATGCCATTCCTACAGTGTGTTTGTTTCCCAACACCATCCTGGCCTTCTACTTTTAAGTTAAAGACCAGGAAGGACATCAGGAAACAGTAGGAGCTGAGCCATGGTCTCCATTCTGAGGTACTTTTGAGAAGGTCAGCTTCAGAGGTTGGTCTGAGTTGATTCTCACAGTCCACTCCCGGCTTGGGTCCATGGCGGCCTTGGTGTGGGTATGATGTATCCACAGCTTGACTCCTGTAACTTTAAGGGATGAGGGATTTGGCACTTTTGGTGAGATCTTGTCACATTTTGTGTTGTCCAGCCAAGTCTTTTAAGAGCTGCTGGAAACAGGAGAGTATCCATACTCTTGGAGAGCCTCTGAGTTCTTTTGGAACAGTGGAGGTGGGAAGCCAAACACGATCTCAAAGCTGTCCTGCCCACCAACCTTTTAATATTCTGCTTTTGTTGTTGGTTTGAGCCAGAGTCTCGTTAGCCCAGGCTGGGTTTGAATTCACTATGTAGTCAAAAATGACCTTGTATTTATTCTTTCTGCACCCACCTCAATGGTGTTTCCATTACAGGCATGTGCCACTACATTTAACCTCATCTCCTCCTCTTTAATTTACTTATTTAGATTTTTCTTGAGACAAGGTCTAGCCCAGGGTCAACTCATACTCACAGAGACCCTCTTGCCTCTGTCCCCAGAGTGTTGGGATTAAAGTTGTATGACACCATGCCCTATTGTTCCCTTTTAAGAACTTTATTTTATTCCTATACCCCAAGTTCCTAGTGTGACATGGTGACTTTTTATGTTTATTGGTCATTTGCACCTCTCTAGACCCCCTCCTGGACTCCTATCTACTCCTGAAACCCTGATGGAGCTATCTTTGGTGTGGCTTACACTTTGGGAGGAAGATGGATGTTAAGAAAATAATTAGAGAGATGTGTTTGGGGGCAATGGCAGAAGGAAAAAGAGGAAAAGAGATTCAAGCCTCCAGCAGATCACCTAGTAGGAACCAAGGCTTCTTCAGCCTGCCAAGGTGTCAGGTTGGCACAGAGCAAGCATGGAAGGGAAGCTGGCCAGGGGAACATGTTTGACATCACACTTTGCAAGATCCTGTTGAGAAATCAGCACTGTATCCGGCGTCCCTTTCTCTGGGAAGGTATCTTGTACAGAGTTGCTGGGGGAACGGTCTTGAGTTGAGGCCGTGATTGCTTCTCCTTACCACTGCCCCCTTCCCTGACCACTCCAGCTGTTCTTCCTTGGACAACTGGAGTGGTCGGGGAAGTTGCCAATGCCAGGCCATCTTCCTTTGGCTAGAGCCAGTAGGAGTTGGGGTGCTAGACACTGGAGATTGTAATGAAAGAGGGTACTCCACATACATTCTAAGAGAACATTTCTCATTGGTTGCAGAGGATAGATAGCCTTTAAGCCAAACTGCTTCCATTATCATCAGATCATCTGTGTTCACTTGCAAAAGATCATCATTTCTGTTTGTTGATTGTTGACCTTCCTTCACAGGAGGAGTGGACAGGAGGGTCGTAGGTGCCCTCCTAAGAGGTTGTATGCAATTCTTCCCTAATTGAGCATAGCCCCAGAGAAGGGCTAGAATATAGTCATGGACTAGGGGAGGGGGCTCCATCTACACACTCTTTCCAGTGTGACTGCTTTATGGGTGATTAACCTGTGATGGTCAATACTGTCAACTTTACAGGACAGGGCAGAGAATCACTAGGAGATAAGCCTCTGGGCATACTGTAAAGATTATGTTGATTGGGCTAACTGAGATGGGAAGACTCACCATAAAAGTTGGTGGTGCCATTCCCTGGGCTTGGATTCTAGACCTCACACGAAGGAAAAAGCTAGCTGAGCAGGAGCATTCATTGGCTCTTTGCTTTCTGACTGTGGATGCAACTCCTTCGAGTTCCTACTGTCATGGCTTTCTCAGCATGGTGGCTGTGCTATCATACTTTAAGCTAAAACAATCCTTTTCTCTTCCAAGTGGCTTTATTCAGGGCATGTTAGCACCAGGAAAGTATTTAAATTCGGTTTGATTCTCAGCACCACAAAAAAGAAGAAAACAGACTCCTTATTTGTGTTTGTAGTCAGTCCTGTTCCGGTATCCTGCCTCCTGTCACAGGCAGACACCCATATATTTTCTGTTCCATAGATTTGCCTTCTCTGGACATTTTCTTTAGAAAAGATTCACATAGTACGTTATCTTCTGTTCTGGAGTCTTTCATTTAGCATTCCTTCCCCCCAGACTGACCTAGAACTCACTATGCATGTCAAGTTGGCATGAAACTCCCGCGGGTTGGGACTGTAAGGTATGTGCCACTAGAACTTGTTGCATGTTGTTTTCATCTTGTTCATAAGCCAACACATTCGAGGCATCCTACAGTGTGGATACACTTTCATAGTTTTTCTAACCATGTTCCCTAGTGGTGGATGTTTTGGTTGTTTCCAAGCTTTGGCTTTTACACCTAATGCTGGAGCAAACCCTCTCCATGGGAGCTACGTGAGCACGACTGTTGTTGGACAGGGTTCTAGAAGTGTGATTCCTGAACTAGAGAGGGTGTGCCTTAAAGTAGAAATAATCGGTTGTTGGCCAGCTGTGGAAGTTCACAGTTGCTATCCCAGCGCTGGAAAGGCTGAGGTAGAAAAATCATACATTTAAGATTGGCCTGGTTTGCACAGTGAGACCAGAGGCTGTCTTGATTTTCTGAGCAAAGGAGGCCTATCTTGCAGAGACTTCGAGTGTGTGGAGAGGCATCATCAACCCAAAGGGAGACTGACCAGGGTCAGGACAGAAGATGTCTATAGTAGTAGACATACAATATTATTAGAATAGAGGAACCTAATTCGGAAGCCAGAAAAGCGGGTTCAGAGCAGATAGATCTAAGCCGAGAAGGATGGGCCTTGAGACAGCCGAGGCTAGAGTGTGGTGAGGAAGAGAACCATCAATGACTCCAAGGCGGCTCTGGACCTGCCCTTTTCCTGTGGTGCTCTGACTGGTAAAGAATTTGTGCCAAGACTGTTCACATGAGGTGCGGATGGATTGACAGCAGTCACGTCAGTGCGATTCAGTCTCAGCTTCTTTTGTGCTGGGGTTTGGTAGCCTCCTATTTTCTGTGCACAACGGCATTCCCAGGGCTTGTTGGAGGGGCAGAGAGCAGAGACCTGGAGCGAAGGTGAGCCTTCACTTGGCCTCCTGTCTCTGACAGTCATCTTGAGGAGTCACCTGGCCAGACACTGTGCTCAGGCAGAGCCACACCAGTCCCCTCTGGCAACTCCGAAACTCTACGTGTTCTTCAGCATTTCCAGCCTGCTGAATCAGAGGCACAGCTGAGTCACACTTGTTCCCCATTCTGTGCTCAGTGCAGGGCCTGGCATTGGATGGGCAGGGCGCAGGGACTGTGATGCTGACTTAGTAACTACGGCCTGAACATTTTCATGAATTGTGAGCGAACACTGTCTATTCTGCAGCCTCATTCTGCTCTCCTGCTCAACCTTGCTGAGCTAGAGGGTTCAGTCTCTCTTGCTTTCCTATGCTCTTAGCAGGCTGCTCAGAGCCAGCCCCCTCTCTCAACAAAGACCCTTCAGATGGTGCACTGCTGTGTTCCAAACCCCCTAGCAAATCTGTCAGTCAGGGTATACTGGTGAAAGAATGGTCCAGGGGCTGGGGATATAGCTCAGTTGGTAGTGTGTTTGCCAAGCATCTACCAAGTCCTGGGTTCAACCCCAACACCATCTAAACCAGGCATGGTGGTGCACATCTATAATCCTAGCACTTGGGAGGTGGAGGCAGGAGCATTTTTTGATCAAGTCCATCCCCAATTACATAGGGAGTTTCAGCCTGGGGTATGTGAGACTATCTCAAAACCCAACCCATCCCAATCTCAAACTCACCCTTCCCTGAAAAAACATCAAGAATGATTCAACCCCTTGTCTCCCTTGACAGGTTACAAATCACTTCTCCACTCTGCATTAGTGCCTGCTTGTCACACCTTGAATGGGAGTGGGTGTTGGAAAGGGGAGGAGAACTCTCAGTGAGATCTGCACTGTCGCTCCTGGCCTGGCTGCTTCTCCAAGTAGCTGAGTCAGTGAACTTCCAACCCTTTGTGTCTTCTAAGCCTGTTCCTGCCGCTTTCAAGAGCTGTTCCATTCAAGGACCTAGGAACACAGGAGAAATCCAACACAGGTTTTCTCCAGTGATCCATGTTCAGCCAAAGCAGACTTGGGCTGGGCATGAAGGGGCAGACAGGCAGGGACAGGCAGGGTTCTGTCTTCATCTTCTCACTCAGGGGACAATGAGATGAACCTTTGCTGCCAAGGCTGTAAGGACCTTTGCTGCCAAGGTTGATGACCTGTTTGATACCCAGGAGCCATACGGTGGAAGGAGAACAAATTCTGACAAGTTGCCCTCTGACCTACACAGTTGTGCTGACACACACACACACACACACACACACACACACACACACACGGGGGGGGGGGGAAGCAAGGGAGAAAGAGGGAGGGTGGGAGAGAGAGGGAGAGAGAGAGAGACAGAGCCAGAGAGAGAGAGAGACAGAGCAAGCGAGTGAGCGAGAGAGAGACAGAGAGAGAGAGACAGAGCAAGCGAGTGAGCGAGAGAGAGAGGGAGAGAGAGAGAATGTAAAAAAAAAGAAATAGTTAAAACAACACAAATTCTCAGCCTTATGCTCACCGTTGTCCAGTCTATAAAAAAGTACTGAAATAAATAGCCAACTACAAGTGGTTTATATAGTTTTAAAAAGGCATTTAATGGTCACATTTTATAAAAAATGATAAGGTAGATAGTTCTGCATTGGTTCAGTGGTAAAAGACTTAGTTTTTTTTATAAACTGAGGTAAAATATACATAACAAAAGTTGCCAGTTTTGCTTTTGTTTTTCATTTGTTGAGGTGCTAGGGTTTAAGCCTGAGTGCTCAGAAACATTAAGTCAGCACTCCACCAGTGAACAATACCTCGCCCTTATTTTAATTTTTAAAAATGCAATGGCAATGAGCACTTTCACAATACTGCACACAGTAGTTAGGGTCTACCTGCGGGACTCTTACGTCATCCCAAACTAGAGTTGTACTATTAAACACTGATGTCCCATCCTCCATTGTCCAGTCTCTAGTCACCACTACCTTATTATTCTTGGTACTTCCTAAGTGTGAACATACAAGTTTTGTCTTTGGGGCCTTGCCTATTCCACTTGGAATCATGCTTTCAAGGCTCATTCATGTGGTCACATGGATCAGTTTCTTATTCTTTCTCATTGTGGGGTGGTCTCCCGTTGTGTGCACTTACCCATTCATTTGTTGGCCATTTTTTAATTGTTTTGACCTTCAACTCGTATGAATAATGCTGCTGTTAACATCAGCCTACAAATGTCTGAGCCCTTGCTTCCAATTCTTCTTGGTACTTACTTAGAGGTGGAATTGCTGGGTTATGTGGTAGTTCTGTATTTAATGTTGATTGTAAGGATAATGATATGCTGTGTCTCACTGTGCCTGAGGTATGGTACCGGTCTATCAGTAAGGTGAAAACTTTCCCTTTCTCTACTTCCTTATGACCCTTGCTATTTTCTGTCCTCCTCTTCTACCTCTTCCTTTTACTGATGAGGATTCTGATGGGTAGGAGGAAGTATCCCACTATAATTTTAATTTATGCTTCTTGGAAAAAGAGTGTTTGGGGCCAGTGTTAGGATAGACCAACTTTATCAGTAGGCAAACCAATATGGAGGGGAGTGAACAGCCAGGGTAAGTGTTCTAAACTCTGCAATGGGGGTCTGGTAAGAATGTGGCCTCTGTCTCCCTATAACTGTGGCGGGGGCTGCATCAATTCAGACACCACAGTCTTTGGACATGAGCCATGCTGAAGGACAGGAATGAACCCTGAGGGGCCATAGTTTAGGTGGACAGTCTTAGAGGGTAGTGGAGGTGTTTGCTGAAGAAGAGCCAACAAAGGAAGGCCTGCCCTCCTTGGCCAAGAACTCCTTGCTGACAAGGCCATAGGTAGCCATGATCTTGAGGAGTCCATAGCGAAACTTCTGGCCAATAAATGCGTAGATGATGGGGTTAAGGCAGCTGTGGAGGAAGCCCAGAATCTCAGTAGCATTCAGAGCCCTGTCAATGTCTTCGCGGCGCTTGCAGGTCTCCTGGATCCTTTTGGTCCTCATAAGGGTGTCTGAGAACAGGACCAGGTTGTAGGGCAGCCAGCAGAGCAGGAAGACAAGCACAACAGCAAAGATGACCCGCATGGCCCGGTGCTTCTGCCCCATGTGGGCCTTAAAGAGTGTGCGCAGTGTGAACCCATAGCAGAACAGCATGATCAGAAGCGGCATGAGGAAGCCGAGGGTCTGAGGCAGGAAGCGTAATACCATCCTCCACTTGGTCGTGTCGTTACCTGCATCCTCATAGCAGACTAGAGTAGAAGAGCCTGTCTTGACGATGTTACGCAGAATTAAGATGGGCAGGGACACCAATACTGACAGTACCCACATGGTTATGCATACAAATTTGACCAAGTGTCTCTTTTGGATCAGTGTGCTTGTGGCATGGACGATGGCCAGGTAGCGGTCCATACTGATGCAGGCTAGTAGCAAGACACTACTGTAGAAGGTAACTTCCTTCACGAATGAGAATATCTTGCACATAGTGGTACCAAAATTCCAGCCATTTATCTTGGATGCAGCCCAGACAGGCAAGGTCAGGGCAAACAACAGGTCGGCAATGGCTAGATTCAGCAGGTAGACATCAGTGACAGAGCAGGTGCTCCGGTTGTATAAAATGACTAGCATCACCAGGGAGTTTCCCAGAAGGCTCAGCAGGGTTACCAGGACGTATGTTACGACCACAGCATATCTGTTGATTTCTAAGTCCTCTGGGTGGCATGGGGCAGCATCTGGTAGAGTGGCAGGCAGGTCAGAGCTATAATTGTAACTATCAATATCTCCACTGAAGAAATAGTCAAGGCTGAAATTATCCACCCTGATTTCTACCATTTTGGAGGTAAATGCAATCCTGTCAATAGAGGAGAGATGATGGTTATTACATAGCAAAGTTATCCTGATTCTTGTTTATCCACCCAAGGAACTGGGATACAAGGATTTGTTGCATTGGATTGCATATTACAAGGAAGACAATTTTCCCTTCAAATGTGAAGATGATAGCAGTAAGCATTTGAGACAAAATAGTAGGCATTTTGGTGTGTGTGTGTGTGTGTGTGTGTGTGTGTGTGTGTGTGTGTAGGATAAAGACTACAGTTCCCTTCAAGACATTTTTTTCCTTGAAGTAGGATCTTGGTTGGCTTTAAACCTGCTGTATAGTCAAGGATGTACAAATACATTATAAATTTGTGTGAAAATGTTATAATTAAACTCATTATTATACATAACTAAAATATGTTAGTTAATAAAACATTAAAAATAAAAAGGTCAATTGGAGAGCACATGGTCCTACAAAATAAATACACATATTAAAGCAATAATAATAAGAATAACAAAAAGAATAACAAAAAGATGGGGCTGGAGAGAGGGCTAAGAGGTTAAGAGCACTGGCTGTTCTTGCAGAGGACTCAGGTTTGGGTTTCAGCATCCACCTGACAGCCAACAACCACCTGTAACTCCAGTTCTAAGGGATCAGATAATCTCTTCTGGCTTCCTTGGGTACCAGGCACGCACATGGTGCACATGGATACTTGCAGTTGAAACACTCACGCACATGAAAAAATGTTAAAAAAATCAATTTAAAAAATAATAACAAATATGGGCTGAAGGTGCTTAGTGGATAGAATGCTTGCCTCACATGCACATAGTTCTGAGTTGAATTTCCAGAACTGAATAAACTAAATAAACTATGTGATGGCACATGCCTATAATCCCAGCACTCAGCACACAGGGGGTAGAGGGAGGAATCTCAGGACTTTAAAGTTATCTTTCAGCTACAAAGTTCAAGGCTAGCTTAGACTATATGAAACCCTGTTCAAAACAAAGACAACAGTATCAGCCAAACAGACATCAAAAATCAAAACCAAAACAATAAGTTTGGGGAAGTGGCTTATTGGGTAAAGGTGCTTGATCCCCAACTTAACCACCTGAGTTTGGCAGGTAGAGAGATCTTGGAAAGCAAGTAAAATGCAGGGCTGTGAGCAGCTCCCACTCCCAGGTAGCAAGGGTAGGCTTGACGTTCCGTAAGGAGACCATGAAGGCCAGGATGGAAGGCAGATCTTCAGGGGAGAGGACCAGGAGAGACTAGCAATACAGTCATCAGTGAAGGGACAAGGGTTGCTGTTTGTGTCTTCATGCACTAATCTCTAAAAGGGATGAGTTAGTGGGTGTAGGGACAAAGGAAAGGATGGAAGATAATGGTTGAGATGTGCTTTGTGCAAGATTACCCTTGGTCATCACAAGTGGTATGATTAGCCTCTGTTTGCTGGGGAGAAGATAAGGCTCAGTAACCAGCCTGTGATCAGAGGACTGTCCTGGTGTTGCCGGAATTCAACTCTACAACTCTGCTTACATGTCATTTATCAACTCTACTTATTGTCTTTAGGTTACTGTTGGAAGATCATACCTTTTATGATAGGTATGTTCAATGGCTAAGCATTTAGATTTATCATTCCCCCTGAGCTGTGGCCCTGCTAAGCACACGTTCTACCATAGAGCTACGACCCTCACATATCTAAGTTCTTGAATTATCTTACAGCCAATGTGGGTGCAGTCCCCTCTTATTGCTTGGAAACTTGGGCATTGCCATTTTTGCCACTCCTTAGGTTGCCAATTAATGAAATAACTATTGCTGGAATGGTAAACCAAACATCTTCAATTGAGTGCCCTGTCATGGCTTCTAGGATGCAGTAGGTGCTCCTGGATTGAATTTGACATGCCTGCTGCTTGAAACTCACATTAGCCCAGAAACTCCACGGATGGGATGAATTAGTGAGGCACATGAAAAAACTCAAGCATGTGGGAAGTTTTCAGGCCCCAAACTTTCCAGGAAATCTTTTCAGTGACAGATAAACCAGTCATTTTACAGTGACTCCAATCCTCATTCTCTTTAGAAATACAGTCCATAAATGCTGTAGGACTGTGGGAGTCCTCAGTGCCTGGTGCATCTCCGGTCCCAACAAAGATGGTAGGCAGGCATGGGAAGACTGCAGGTAGGGGCTGGGCTGCAAGTTGTTCTAAGTAGTTTTCGGAGGGTACAGGAAAGGGGTCAGGAGTTCTTCCTCTATGGTAAGAAGGCCTAATGTTTATGGGTTCAGGGATGGGGGACATACCCAAGGTCAGGCTAAGTATAGAGGGACATAGAGAAAAATTCTAGATAGTGTCGGGGTGTTCCAGACTCATCAGGATGCTAGCTTTTCACCCATGGGACAGCTAAGTTAGGCGCTGTGACCCACAAAGATCAGTGGTAGTAAGAATTATCTAGAGGAAACGAGGGATGGATTAGATTGTTCAAGCAGGGGAGGAACATGGCCGGGCCCACAGATGGAGTCTTCTTATGCATTTAAAGGACTCGAATTGGGAAGTGATCCAATGAGGTTTCCTAGCCCGTCTTTCCAGGTTTCAGTGGGGAGGAAAGAGTCCCAGATAAAGGAAAGGATTTGCGCAGGACCACACCCCCCTGTCTTTGCTATGATCTCAGAGCCACTGGCTCCTGCAGCTAGGCTCTGACTCCCCCTACTCCAGCCGCCCCTACTCCAGCTGCCCCAAGGGGGTCTACCTTGCCGTTCAGCCATGCTGTTTCTCTCTCTGGTTTAAGTGGGGTGGTTCAACCAGGCAGCAGAGCTGGACACTGAGGTCCTGGCACTTGCAGCCATGCTCCTCTTTAGACTAGACGCTGCTTGTTTTCTCTGTCCCCTATACTCTTCAAAAGCACCCAAATTCTTCCTCCTCGCTGTGTACCAAGCGGCTTCACCCCACACGGGTCTCCACCCCTTCCTTCCTTTTCTTTTGCTTTTCTCTCAGCCACTGGTGCTGACCGTGGGCCCAGTTTCGGGTGTTGCTGTGCTTTCATGGCTCGCACACTTGTCAGCTCCATGGCATTGCTGACACACCCTGGGAGCCGACACCCTCTCCTTTGGAAACAACCTTTTGATAAAAGTGAAAATCCCAACCCAGTATTGACTGTTGTGGAATATTACCTTAACTACGTGAAGGTGTGTTGCATTTGTTTATGCTGCATTGGTTTAACTATGTAAAGATATATTGCTTTGCCTACCTAAGGCACCTGATTGGTCTATTAAAGAGCTGAATGGCCAATAGTTAGGCAATAGAGGGCTAGGTGGGGCTGACAGGCAGGGAGAATAAGGAGGAGGAATCTAGGCTTGAGAGAAAAGAGGGGGAGAGAACCAGGGAAAAAAAGAGAGGGAGGCCCAGGGCTAGTCAGTCAGGCAGCTGCCGGACAGACATGGAGTAGGACACACAGAATTTCCATTTATTTAGAAAGGTAAAAATCCCTGAGGCAAAATGTAGCTGAAGAGAAATAGGTTAAATTAAGTTATAAGAGTTAGTGGGACAAACTTAAGATAAGGTTGAACATTCATAACTGATAAAAGTCTCTGTGTCATGATTTGGGAGCTGGTTGGTGGCCCCAAAGAAATATGCTACAATTGACACATTTTGAACACTTGACACCAGGGACATATCTTGTCCCCTTTGCTGGTGATTACAAGTGAAAAGCGTTACTAAAGGTAGAGTCATGGACATCCACTATCTGCATGCCCAGGGGACAGTGTGGGAATTCCACCCCGCCCCTTGTTAGTCTGTATCCCAGAGTCCAGAGCACACACACTGAAGTGGTTTACCCTAGCGTCCAGTTCCAGCAAACACTCCTTAGTATTTGTCTGGTTTCTTTCCCCCTCTGGGGAAGAATGAAATAATATCAGGCCAGTGGACAATAAAACCTGGTAGTGAAAAGATGGTTATCCATAGGCGAGTTACAGATGTGTGTGACACTCTACACACACACATACATGCACACATACATATGCATGCCCACATATGCATAAATGTACACACAACACAGTACTAGATTGTACTATGACTCTTAGAATTGAGACGGTATGTCTACAGAGGACTATTCTTTCCTATCATAGTCTCAGTCACGGTCAGGGAGAGTAGCGACCCTACCTAGCATTCAGGTAGTCCTGTGAGTACCTTCACGTGCTCTGACCTGGATAACAGCCGTCAGACTAGTTGGACTCTAGATGGCTGACAGGCTTGCAGCCTCACAGGCAAAGGGCTTTCCACCATTTACTTTATCTTTCGGTCCTCTCATTAGTGTATGCAGTCGGCACGTTCTGGGTGAGGAAACCAAGTCTCAGGAGGTGAAGCAACTCACCTAGAATGACACAGCTCAACTGGGCTGCAAACGTTTTTAATGGATTTTAAAATCTCCTCTTAAATGCTCTTTTGTCAAATTCCACGAGGAGCAGGATGCCAGCCTCAGGTTTCCTAGGTCCATAGGTACAGCTTTGTCCCAGACAATCAAATACCATTGGTGTGGAAAAGGAGCCCAGATTGGACATTTCTCAACTGCCCACTTCCGTTTTTTTGTTTTTTTCTCCTCCCCAATGTAGACTGGGCTACCTGAGACCCTGCATCAAGCTTTACTTATTTGTTTTTTAATGTGGAAAGTTTGTTGGGAGAAGGGAAGGAGAGAGAGAGAGAGAGAGAGAGAGAGAGAGAGAGAGAGAGAGAGAGAGAGAGAGAGAGAGAGAGAGAGAGAATATGACTTGTCTTCTTAGAGAAGCGGCAGAAAGAGCTATGTTTTGTAATTAAGAAAAGAGTTCTAATCTTGGTCCTGCTCTTAAGGGTCGGGGCAAAATCATCATCTGTCCCTAGGCTTCAGTGTTCTCCTGGAAGACACTAAGTTGTTCCAAGTGTTCTCTGCCCAGAATTGTAGCTATAGCCCATTTAGCTCTCTAAATGAAAAGTAGCTAAAATAGAGTGGAATTTACTTCTCTGAGAACTGGGGAGATAGATGTTTCGGCCAGCAAAAGTACTTCAGATGATCTGACTTGGGTCTCTAGAACCCATGTGAAGAACTGATTTCACAAAGATGCCCTCTCAACTCCACACGTATTCCATGGAAAGCACATATACAAACAATAACTTAAAAAATTACTTACTTGGCCCCTGTAGCTACATTTCAAGGGTTCGGTGGCCACAGGTGACCAGCTCTAAGGTTGTATAATACAGTATCCCACTTCCCAGGGCTCCAGGAAAAGAAGACTTCCCAGATCCCTTCTACCAGAAATGCATTCCCAGTCAGTGACCAATCAGCCCTCCTACCTGTAGTCGCTGCACAACACTGCTGTGAGTGGAGTAGCCCGGATTCCCTGTGACTCAAGGCTTGGAGGCAGTCAGGGCTGTTAGACTGGAAGAAAGTGAGGGAGCTGCGATGGGGAAGCCTCTGACCTGGGCTACCGATGAGGAAGTCCTGGAGGCCCTTGGGACCAAACGTCCCACCCTCAAGGGAGGTGTCCTGTAGAGGAGGCTAGTCTGTTCTGGGACTCTGACTTCAGGCTCGGGTTCCACCTGGTGATTCTGCGGTGAGCTCTTGGGATTTTCACACCTTCTGATGGCTTCTGGAGGAGCCTGCCAATCTGAAGGCAGAAGACAGCTTCCTTCCCAGCCTATGCCTCTTTTTTTAACAAGGAAGATGTGGGCTCTCCAGACCCTGCTGATGGACTTGTCTGAACTCACACTTCCTTCCTTCCTTCCTTCCTCTCAGGGTCAGCAAGAAAACGGGTACTTCTGTTTCTTGTGAGCCTCTGCCCTGCCTGGGGGACCCGCGGTGTCCTCTCCCCCTGGAGGATCTGCCTTCTGTCGCCACAATTCCCCTTCAGCCTGAACTTAGTCCTTCTCACTCTGTCTCAGAAACCTTTGCCTCTGTTTTGCCACATCTTCCTTTCCACAGTTGCTCTCTGCACTTCCTCGCCTCTCATTTGCTGCTCCACAAACACCCTGCCAAGGGCTTCTTTCCCTAATCTTCCAGGATGACCAGTAATGCATGGGCGGGGGAGGGGGAAGGGGTGTGGCAACCTTTGTCTTCCTTCAGTTAAGTTATTTTTGTATTAGCAAAACAGCATCTCAAGACAAGCAGATCGAGACAAACAACACAAAAGCACACACTCTTCTTCACTCATATCTGTTCCCATGATAACCACCACCCACATTGTTGAGACCAGGCTATGCCCTATTCTAAGCTACTTCATATTGTACAAAACAACATATATGTAAGTATTTTGCTTGCATTTTTGTATGTGTACCACATACACACCTTCCTGATGCCCTTGGAGGTAGGAAAAGGATGTTGGATCCCCTGGAGCTGGAGTTATGGATAGTTGTGACCCGCCATGTAGGTGCTGGGAATTGAACCCAGGTTCTTTCCAAGAGTAAGTGTTCTTGACTGCTAAGTCCCATGACATACATCTTTGTGTGTGCATCTTTCCAGATTTTTCCCATGCAAATACAAGTGTTTTTTTTTTTCTTCGTTTTCCCAATAAAGACAATAGTTTCCTAGTTGCATTGTCCTGCACCTCCGCTGAACTTACCGTCTTTGGTTTCTGCATCACTTGAGTCCTGCCGACTTGTTCTCTTCTCATTTACCCCTGCTTTCTCTGGGTGCCATTTGCTGCTTAAAGTTTCCTGGAGGTTTTACCTGGGCCTTCCTGTCTTTCCTTTCCAGCACTCTGTGGTGATTCCACCTGCCCCTGTGGCTTCAGATAGTGCCACCGGTCAATGTCTTTAGCATCCGTGTTCCCAGCTTCTCTCCTAAGTTCCAACACTGTATGTAATAATTGTTAGGAATAGTAATAAAGCGCGGGGGGGGGGGGGGTCAGAGAGAGGACAGAAGAGAAGAGGGAGACAGGAAAAGTCCTGTCTGCCCCAGGAAAACAGCAGGAAAGAGAATGTAAGTGGGCGGAGGTCTTTCTTTTAAAGGGGTCCTTTGCAACTGCGTACAGACTAGTAGTCATGGAACCCTGGGCTGACCAGGGTACTGTTTGAGTGCATTCTGCGGGGTGACGGGCAGGCCAGTATAATGCCCGAATCCTTACAATGATCACCTGCAGTCTCCCTTAAGCTCCCCAGATGCTGCAAACTCAAAATGTACAACATTCAGATAAATGGCTCTCAATCTTCCTAAAGCTTTGACTACAGTTCTTCATGTTGTGGTGACCCCAACCATAAAATATTTTGTTGCTACTTCATAGCTGTAGTTTTGCAACTGTTATGAATCGTAATGTAAATATCGAATGTGCTGGATATCTGATAAGCGGCCCCTGTGAAAGGGTCATTGCCCCCCCCCAAGGGGTTGTGACCCATGGGTTGAGAACTGCTCTATAGATTCACCATTCTCTCCTGACTCTCCTGTGTTTTGCCTCCTGCCTATTCCGTTGCCTGCTTCTCTGGCCCAGCTGGAGACATGTACCGCCTCACCTCACATGCCCCCTGCTTTTTCTCTCATTTGCTCCTGCCTATCTTCTCTACACCACCTTCCCTGACAGTGTTAGGCAACCCTTGATACTCTCTCCTAAACCAAATCAGTAGTTTCGCAACGACTGTGGGTTCCAGAGCTCGGCTGACTGAGTTAGAATCCTGATTAGAAACTGATTAGAAACCTACAACAAGCAGTTTGATCTCACTGGGTCTTAGTTTCACCATTCATAGAATGGGCACAATGAGAACACCTGCTGCACATGGTTGTTACAGGGACCAGACGAGTCTCCATGAAGCATTTAGAATGTTCAGCTCCTCCTCCTTTGTCTTTCTGCTTCAACCCACCATACATTCTGCTGCCAGGGAGATCTTCCCAAAATATAAGCATGCTCACTTCATATGCCTCTTAGAAACCTTTAAGACCCTCAACAGCCTCAGATGAAGTCAGTCCTGAGATGGACACTTGATATCCTTGTGACTGATCCCTATATTACTTCTGGCCATACCTTGAACTCTGAGAACCCTGTGCAGCTCCCTAGGGGTTATTCTATTTCTCTGGGGGCCTTGGTGTGCACTCCCTTTCCTTGGATACTCTTCAGGATCTCTGATCGGATTCTCTTTGTTTCCATGTTTGGTCTAGGCTGTTCATCCCTTTGCATCTTGAAAGTAGGCCTTTGTGAGTTTGTCTCTGCCCTCCCAAATGAACCACAGTGTGATGAGTGCCATGAGTGCTTCATGTATTTTTGGTGGACACTGCTAAATTGGTAGTTTGGGGGGGAACTGATGGGACACGAGAACATTCCTCTGGTTGAAGAACTATGTGATGTGGTCCAAACCTTTCAGAGCCTCTCCAGCACGGCTGCACAAATGTAATCACATCAAAAGTGACAATGGTGACCTCATTTGCTCAGAAATTATGTGCTCAGGCAGGGCTCTGGCAGAGACATGGAAGACTCATTGGAGGTCCCTCCCGTGTGCCCCTGTGGGTGTGACTGTGGCTGGGCATGGTCCTTAAAGTCAGCACTTGAGGACTGCTATCCTTGCAGGGTCAGGTTCTTGGGGTGGTCTGGAAACTTTCTAGTTTCTCTTCGGCAAGTTTGCTGAAGAGATTGGTTGGCTGTTCAGAAACAGTGTTGACCTGGAGGCGGGAACTCAGCATTGTTCTTTCTTTGCCCAGACATGGGAGCTGAGGCTCACACTCCCCATTCCTGGCCTCGAATCCTTCCTGGAGAGTTCTTTTCCAGATCATCCCCCGTTCTCTTAAAAACTGCCTTCTACTGTTACCCCAACTTCCATCTGCTTATGAGGAAGGCCAGAATCCATGCTGGAATTCCTGCTAATAGGCTAGAGACTCTGTTCTGGTAAAACTGCATGGGTCAGGCCAATCCCCAGAAAGGGCCATACTCTGAGGATGATTCTAGTACCTCAGTTGTTTGGGGGAGCCTCCTCTGTCCATCACTTTGTGACTGAGATTGCTGAGGACAGGTTCTTACCAGTGCACCGGGCAGAAGCTCCTGTTGCTAAACTCTTACTTCATGCAAAGGCAATAGAATGCATTGGTATTCATCCAAGACCTCAGGCTGTCTCCAGGCTCTGGTCAGAGCCACAGCCTTGGTCAAGCATCCAATAGAGTGGATGGGGGCAGTGTGAACACTGGTCTAGGGTTCATAGTATTCTCTAGAATTTGGGTAGGGCAGCTAATTGCCTTGTTACAGAGTGAGCCTACATTTCTTCTGCAACAGGTTTCTCAGAAGTGACCCAGTTAGCACCTAGTGAATGAACAACACTGTTTGCATAAGCTTTCTCAGAGACTTCCGGGGAAATGATGTTACTCAAGATCAACTCATCTAAGGTCTTTATCATAGTCAAAGTAAGTGAGCTCCAATGCTAAGTCACCAGGACCCAGCCCCTCCTTCCAAGTACTCCCAGTGTGGGGCCCATCAAGTCACCATAACAATTGAAAGGGAAGGACAGAGAGCCCCATAACTATACCTCTTCTGCCCACCAAACCCAGATGCCCTGGAGAGCAGCTGGGACTCTCACAAGCAGCTGGTACAGTACAAACAAACCTCTTGGTAAAATACAGGAGAGCCCCTCCACCCTTCACCCCTGCTCCCCATGTCCATGAGGTCTGAGTTCATGGTTTTTGCATTCACAGATGGTTAAAAATATATTTGAAAAATTGTGACTACACTGGACATGTTTAGACAATTTATTGTCATCGTTCCCCACACAACACAGCAGAACACTTAGCATTTATAATGGCTTAGACACTTTCAGCAATCTGGGATTGGTTTAAAGTATGTGTGATGCTGTGCATTGGTTATATGTCTATGGGACTTGAGTGTCTGGGAGATTGCTACCTGCAGAGATGTTGGTACTTGGAGGGATTTTTAGAGCTAATTCCCTGAAGATGCAGAGCGATGCCTGCTAATTATCAGCTTTTTGAGAACTAAACTTATTACAACCTGAGCACTTGCAGGTGCATTTCACCTCCAAAAGCCTCAGGTGCCAGGCATTTCATCCTAGGTATTTTACAAGGAGAAACGAAAGTGTGGACCTACCAAGGGCTATGCATGAAGCTCACAGGAACTGCCCGGTACTGACTACCAACAGGAAACCACTCAAATATGAAGCAACAGGTGAATGTGTAAATAAATCCTGACAGTGGAAAAATAGAAAGGAACCATGGGGGCTGGTGAGAAGGCTCAGAAGGCAAAGGCACTTTTCTGCTAACCTTGATGCAAGTTTGGTTCTGGGGACCAACATGGCTGAAGAAAAAAAAATCTCCAACAAGTTGTCCTCTGGCCTCCATATGAATCATGAATGCTGCTTGCATTACATACATACACACACACACACATGCACGCACGCACGCACGCACGCACGCACTGTAGGAAAGAACTACAGTTATATGCAACACCTAGACAAATCCCAAACCAATCATGCTGAGTGGAGGCAGCAATAAAGAGGGAACTGCACAATTTTATTTCTGCAAATTTCTAGAAAGAACCTGTGCTTTTTGGTGCCATGAGGCAGGGTCAGTGGTTGCCTCGGCATAGAGGCAGGGGTTTGGGGAGGGTGAGAACACTTTGGAGCAGATGCCTGTGTATGGAGATGCAGATTTGTGCAATGCTTATTATATGTAAACAGCACCCCTGTGAGAAATGAGACAAACCAATGATACCTGAAGTAGATTGGAGGGGGAGATGGAAGAGGCTTCACTTCTTGTGAGTAGTAGGGCAAGGGGAGTGTGGCTAACACTAGTAACCTGGGCTGTTCTTATTCATGGTTACCGTAAGGACTTGCGGTGCCTCTAAGGACTTTACAGAGTTCGTAGCCTGTCTTCCTCACAGCAGACACAAAGCTGCTAGAGCTAAGTCATGTTCCACTCAGCCCCTTCAACAGGAAAGGCAGAGCTAGGTCTATCTTTGGACTGTACCCTCTACCCCTCACAGTAGTGCTGGGGCCTCGGATCACCAGCTTCCAGAGGAAAAAAGTGGTCAGACTTCAGGGAGGGAGTGAACTGGGGAGGGGGGTGGTGGCTGTTTTTTGGTTGCTCTTGACATCTTGGTCAGGTGATCTGGATTTCTTCCCGTTGGGCACAGGCTGGGCAGCAGTGTTCTCTCTTCTTGTAGTCTGCAGAGCAGGCATGGCAAACCAGGCCTCCACAGAGCCTGGGGAGCAGAGACAGGGGAAGCCTGGGCTGGCTTCTAGGGGAGCACACACACACACACACACACACACACTCACACTCACACTCACATACTCACACACACATACACTGAAATAAATGTTAAAAAGAAAGTTCCTAAAAACCAAACAAATCAAACAAAACCAGGCATTTCCCTTGGTCCTTTCTTCCCTGGGTAGGCAAGGGACTGAGGGCTGTCCCAGACACTGTGCCTTCCTGTTACCTGCAAGGATACCGCCGAGACAGACGCCTGAAGACCTTGTTGCAGCCCATGCAGTGTCCAGGGGCCACAGTAGACAGCTGCTGGAGCCTCTGCCACTGGTGGTCCTTCTCACTGATGAAGGGGGTGGAGTGGGAGACATAGAGAGAGAAAAAGAGAGAAGGGGAGGTGGTGATGGAGGAGATAGAGTCTCACATTGGCCTGAAGCTTGCCAAGGTGGTGCTGGCTAGCCAGTGAGTCCCATAGATCTGTCTGTCTTTGCTTCCTTAGCATTGAGATTGATTATATGTGTTTAGGGGATTGAATTCTAATTCTCATGTTTTCATGGCAAGCACTTTACTGACTGACCAAGCTCTGTAGCTCTCATCAGTGGTGTGTGTGTGTGTATGTGTGTGTGTGTGTGTGTGCGTGCGTGCGTGTGTGTATTGTTTGTATGCAGACAAAACGCTCATATATTTAAATAAATATTTAAAAGTGCAAATAGCGCTTGTGAGATGGCTCAGAGGGTAAAAGTACTTGTTACACAAGCCTGGCAACCTCCGTCTGATTGCTGGAATCTTCACAAAAGTGGAAAAGAGAGGATGGACTGCACAAAGTTGTCCTCTGACACACTTGCCCCTGCCAAGCATGTGCACACACACACACACAACAATCAACAAAAAGTGTTTAAGTAAAAAATCAAGCTGTACCTTCCTACCCTTCCTTTTCCAGTGATAAACCATTTCTCCTTGGCATTCCTTCCACATTTAAGTAACAGGTTCACATACTTCCTATGGTAGAAAATGTTCTCTATGGATCTCCATCCCTTAATCGTGGAGGAGTCATCTTATTTGTTATCGTTCCCACCAGCTTCTCCTTCCTCCCAATGTGGTCGGGTCCCTAGTTTGGGTTCCTCTGTCAGTCACTCTTGTTAGTTCACAGGATATATATAATTCTATAGTCTCCTTCTGCTAACCATGAGCAATACCTTGTGGCTTCTAGCCCATTCTGCAAGCCTCCCTTCCCTTCAGTCCCCCACCCCCAACTTATTACCTACTAAAGCAACCAGTGTGGAGGCCACTAGCCGAGAGTTTGCTTTCATGTAAATCAAATAATAGGAGAACTTCAGTTACACCAGCTCAGTATCTCAAGCTTGCGACTTCTTCCCGTGCTTAGCAACCATCACATCCCAAAGCACAGATGTGGGACAGGCTCGTTGTCACAGAACTTGCTAGTTGAATCTTTTCTACTATGCAACATTGCATTCACATTCCATTTGTGTGTGTGTGTGCGTGTGTGTGTGTGTGTGTATCTCCATCTGTGGTGGATATCTGCATATTTGTCTGTGTATGCACACATGCCTGTGTGTGAAGGCCAGAAGTCGCCCTCCACCCTTTTGGAAACAAGGGTTTCTCAGTGAGTCTGGAGATCACTGATTGGGCTACAATGGCTGGCTAATGAGCTTTGGGGTTTCTGTGTATGCCTTCCCCAGTGCTGACACACATTTCATGTGTACACCGCCATGCCTAGCTTTAATTCTGGGTGCTAGGGGATATCAGCTTAGGTCCTCATACTTTTGTGGCAAGTGCTTTCCTGACTGGCCATTTCTCTAGGTTACACACTCTGTTTTATCATTTCTTTCTTTTTTTAACATTTAACTTAATTTTATTCATGCTTGCCTAGGGATGAGGAATAAATCATTCAATAAAACACACAGTAAAAACAGGAGGAGGCTTATCATGTACAATGTTTAAACTACAATAATGATGTACCTTAATTACTTCCATGTACACAAGTCTAATACTACAAGTTTTTAAAAAATAAACACAACTAAGACTTCTAGGAGCATTTTATAATAACTCCCTAATTTTTCTTTGTAGATAGATCAAGTACCCCCAAAATACAGATTCCTATACACAGTGAGTACTTTACTTAACGTACATGGACAGCTCAGGACAAGCCGACATCAAGTCATCAGTTTGGCAGGCAACAAACCACAGAGCCAAATGGAAAAAGGGGCAGTTGCAAATAACGAAGTTACTTTTATAATTAAATACAGAAAATATACTGATTTGCTAAAAATAAATAAGATGTGATGCATTTAACACTCCACATATAGAATGAATACCAGGACACTTATAAACGGTGAGCGAGAATCTCAATAGTTTACTGCGATAAACGCTGGCTAGATAGAAGTGCATATGCCGTGGAGCACTATGGGTGGTTTATGTTTCACCACATACTTTTGTTACCTTGAGGTAGATAACACGTGTGTACCAAATTCAGCATTTGTTTTCAGTTGCTGCTGGTATCATGTGTCTTAAGAAATGTGTACAGTATGAAAAACGTGAAAATACTATTGAATGAAAAATGTTTCAGGAAAAACTAGATCTTTTCATGCAAATATGTACAGTCTCACTGTGTAAGTTTCAAGGCAAGGTTTTGTTTCCTGTAAAGCAGGCCAGCGGTCTTGAGAATGTCTATTCACCCTAGCGCATCTAGTCTCCTCCTGTTCTACATTGTTTTGCTCTAGTCTTTGTGTAGTGTGTGTGCAAATGACACGCCAGTTCAAATGAAAACTAACTCACATGGGAAAAAAAGTCTGCATTTTACAAACTGAGAACCAAGAAAAAAAATCCTTGCAAATTAATGACACCTTCTTATTCAAGTAAAAAAATGACTTAAAACATTAGTGATAAAAAAGACACAATACATTTTATGAAGAACAAAGAGAAATGTCTGCTGAGTGTTTAGTTCAGATGTTTCAGAATGCTGCTGTATGTCTTGTGAGGGATTTGAGGGGAAGATTTCATAGCGGAAGGTGTTAATGTGGCCTGGATAGACATGAGTGGGGACCCCACTGGACTGTGGAACTGTGGGGTGCCTGTGGACTCCAGCTGCTTGCTCAGGAGGATCTCCCCATCGCCGTTCAGAAGCCCTGCCTCACGTCCTCTCTCCCCACGCTTCCCTTACTCGACTGGCTCAGTTTCTAGCATTTCAGAATCATCCTTCGTGCTAAAGAACTTGTCCAAATAGCTGGTGTATGTGCTCTCCTTTTCCACGTGCTCATCCTTCCTGACCTCACAACAGAACTGACTGATGAGGAAACACTCCTCTCCACCGCTCACAAACTGGCTGTCCCAAGAGGACTGATACGAGGCTTCCAACTGAGCCAAATTAGCCATTCCCTTTTCTTGCTTCTCCCGGCTCACTGACTTAGATATCAAGCTTTTCAATTTTAGCTGGGACACTGAGCTATTCAAGTCATTTAACTTGTCAACAAAGTCAGTAGGCTCATGCTGGGAACTAAGCTGGATAGTTGCTGCAATGAAGGAGTCAAAGTCAAACTCTGGCTCTTCTCCCTTTCCTTCTCTGCCAGTTGCTGGGACGCATCCTCCAGCGCTAGCTGTGCTTTGACCAATCCGTTCCTCTCATACTTTGACTTGCCTTTCTTATCGGATTTTTCTTTACTTTGTTCTTTTCAGTTGGAAAGATCTATAAGTTTGGGCTTATAGCAATGGTTAACTTCACTCTCCCTCCACACCAAGTTATCTAAGTATGATGATGACCTTGTTTTGTAGTTACAGGTGTGGCTACACTCCAGATCACAGTATTTGGTCTAGTGGTGATCCAGGTACTGCCAGCAAGGCTCAGCAGAATAGCAAGTGTCAAAGGCGGGATCCTCCCGATACTTCTGTCAGTCTCTATCCAAGTATTTTCGAGGATCAACTTGAACTTCTACTTCATCGATGACATCAGACAGAGCTCTTGGGTCAAGCTGAACCTCATCGATATCAAAGTTGTTATGAATAGGCCAGTTATGCTCTGAGAACTGACAATCATGATACCTTTCCCAGTTATAAATGTGACTGTGTGTTTCATCCATAAGCAAAATATCGTCAACTTCATCTTCTATGTGAAAAGGATGGCTTGAAATTGGCGCATTTGTTGGAAAAGAATAAATGCTCATGTAAAGATAGGAAAGTCCTTCCTCTGCTGTCAGCTGGTCCATGGGGCTGAACGCCAGAATCTGTTCCAGGAAATCTAGTGCTTCTCGACTAATTCCTGGAAGCAGCTGAGTTAGTGGTTTGTGTGGCTCAGTTATGTCGTTTCTAATGTAAACTGGAATCACACTATAAAGCTGCTGACGATCCTCCTCATGCACAACAGGAATAGATTCTAAGATCAGCTGCATCTGTTCAAGTTCATGTGCAGCTGCAAAGAGGGTTTTACCAGTCAGTATTTCAGCAAAGATGCAGCCCTCAACCCACATGTCAATGGCTTTAGTATAATTATTAGGAGAAAGTAAAAGTTGTGGAGATCTGTACCATTTAGTAACCAATCTTTCAGAAAGGTGACCCTTGTAGGAATAATGAGGATCCATGATCGGTGCCATACCAAAGTCACCTATCTTCAGCACCAAGTCTTCAGTGTTAATGGAAAGATTAGCTGGCTTGAGATCTCTGTGTAGTACGTTTGCAGAAAGAATATACTTGAGCCCTCGTAGCAGCTGATAATGGAAAGCCTGGCATGCTCTTCCAGTAGAGGACCCTGCTCCAGCACGTTTGCCAAGTCCGTCTCCATGTATGTACTCCTGAACAATGTAGACACTGTTTAGCTCCATGAGAGAGTCCACATCATCTGTTAACTGGCTTCCACTGGGACTAAGAATCTCAAACACTTTCACAATTTTATCATGGTCAAGTCTTCTAATAATTTTGATTTCACGGAGAGCATGTGTGATGCTCTGGGGATCGGTGAGGACAATTTTCTTGATGGCTACTCTTTTGTCACAGACATTGTCTACAGCAGAAAAAGCCAAGTTTTAAGTCCATGTACCTAGACTTGGTACATGGACCATGAATGTTCATGAGACTTTCAAATTTCTCTGCTATTTTGAAACCCTTACAGTAATTGCCTTTCCTTTCAAATTGTTGAGCTTGTGTAAACAAAGAAGAAAACTGGTACTGGAAGGAAAGATCTTTCAAAAAGGGAGAAAAATAGTTTTGTTTCCACAGCACGATGGTTTCTTGATGTTCATTGCAGGCGCCAACCAGGCCCACTGAGTTCCCCTCAGACTTAAAGCTCAAAAACCTCATACTGAGAATTAAAACGATTACAGTGCTCATAGTTCAAGGAAGGGCAGCAACTCTGCTGACATTTAAAGAAAACTCTCAAGAAACTCAAACGGAATGAAATGACATACTATGCACTCAGATCTACTGTGCAAATCGACTTAACACGGGACAAAACTGTGAATAAATATGCACTGGGCAGGCCTCCGTGGACATCCTCTCACAGTGCAGATACATTCAGTGTTGGACTGGTCCTGAGCAGCATCCTGAGGCGCTGGGAAGCACTGGTTCCTTTTGCTTCCTCTCTTCCTTTATTGCTGTGTTTCAACAGGAAGCCCTGGTGATGGTGGCTGACAGTATCTTTTGTTAGTGATCAGGTGGCCCCAGCTCACCACAGTCACAATCAAAGCTACTGTCCATCTTACTCTGATACAACGGGACTCCTCCGACTCATCCAGAGAGTACGGGGCTGCGTCCAGGGTCGGAGGCAGCTGTGTCTCCAAGGCTCTGAGGCTCTCGCTTTGCCCCCAGTGGCTGCCATGTAACCCCAACCCATGTAACCCCAACCCATGTAACCCCAACCAGAGAGAGCCTGTTTTATCATTTCAATTGTTGTTTTTGTTTTGTTTTCTTTCTTTCTTTCTTTCTTTCTTTCTTTCTTTCTTTTTTTTTTTGAGATAAGGTTTCTGTGTATAGGTAGCCCTGGCTGTCCTAGAACTCACTCTGTAAACCAAGAGCTGACCTTGAACTCAGAGATCCTCCTGCCTCTCCCTCCAGAGGGCTGGGATTAAAGACATGTGCCACCACCGCCCTTTTGTGCATTATCAGCAGACGATATTCTAGCACTGAAGAAGGCCGGAGGCTGAGGCCACAGGTCAACACTAGAGGACTTCCCTAGGACCAGTACTGGATTCAGTTCCCAGCATTGCAAAAAACAGACAAAAAGAATAGGACACATGAGTAGAATTTGTTATTAGATAATATACACGTTTCCTAAAAAATACATTGTGTTTTTAAAGCTATATTGATTTATTTATTATGCTGTCTTTCTCTCCCTGTGTGTGTGTGTGGGGGTGAAGACATACTACCATGCACACAAGGAGATCAGAGGACTCCCTGACTTGGTTCTCTGCTCCCACCATGTGGGTCTCAGGAACTGAACTCGGCAAGTGCCTTGCCTGCCTAGCCATCTTGCCAGCCCTATCATTCCTTTTTTGAAAGTGGGGGTGGGATCTCTGACTGTAGCCTGGGGCTGTCCTTGAACTAGGGGCAGTCCTCCTGTTTCAGTCTCCTGAGTACTAGAGTTATAGGTGTGAGTCACATTCCAGCCTTTCCTAGTTGTCTTTCTTTTCATTTTATTTTTATCATTATTTCATGTGTAAGGGTGTTTTGCCTGCACGAATGTCTGTGCATACATTTATTCAGGGCCCCAGGAGGCTAATCCTCTGGGACAGGAGTTACAGACAGTTGTGAGCTACTTTTGGGTGCTGGGAATCAAACCTGGATCCTCTAGAAGAGCAGCCAGTGCTCTTAACCACTGAGCCATCTCTCCAGGCCTCTAAGTGTCTGTCTTGACTCATTGCATCACCTGCCTTTAACATACTATTTTTCTTCTCATTATTATTATTATTACTGCTACCACTACCATCACTATTGTTGTTCACAGGTTGTTTCTATGTAGTCCAGGCTGGCTTTGAACACGTGCTTTTCCTTCCTCTGTTTTCCTTGTACTGGTAATTCAGGCGCACACCACTTGCTGTGCCTGATCTGGGCCTGACTTGCCCCGAGTCTTTCAGCACAGCAAGTGTTCTCCCGACTCTTCCCCTCCGTGTGGTGATTCCCTTTTTTTTCTCCTGGGTGGAACTGTTGCTCCCCGAATTACATCTCCTCCTTTCTTGGCTCGCTTCCTTTTTTTTTTTTTTTTCTGGAGCACATCCTCTATGAACTTCTTAAGAAAGACTGTGTAGGAGTTGAATTTCCTGAGACCCGTCTGATTAATGTCTTTGGCTATCACTTTCATCATTTAGTTTATGGTTTATCTGGACATGAAATTCTACTTTAAGAGTAGGCCTTTCGGAGAACTTGAGAGCTGCTGCATCACAGATACACGTTGAGTCTTCATATCCTTAAGGGTTTTGTGTCTTCCTCCAGATAATTTAGAAATAATGTTTCCCTTTGCTTTTGGGAAACTTCACAATGCCTTATCTAGGTATGAACAGCAAATTTCCCCCTTTTGCTTATTGTGCTTAGCATTCAGTGAGATCTAAAGACTGGGGTCCATCAGGGCCTGAAAATGCGTATTTTAATCTTTGTAATATTTTCTACTTAATTTCAGTTTCTTCTTTTGGAAACCTCTGCCAGTTGGAGAGGGTATTAGGACTCCTAGACTGCCGTGCATGTGAGTGTGTGTGTGTGTGTATGTGTGTGTGCGCACGCGCGCGCATGCCCAGGTGAATGCACACATGTTCATGTGCATGCCTGTGAAGGCCAGGGTTGACATTGAGCATCTTCCTCAATTACATTCCACCTTGATTTTTGAGACAGCATCTCTCACTGAACCCAGAGCTCACCTATTTGGTTAGATTAGGTGAACAACCAGCCCTGAGATCCTCTTGCTCTCTCTAGTACTGGGTTTGTAGGCATGCTACTTCTGGTTCTTAACATAAATGCTAGGGATCTTAACTCTGGTCCTCATGATTACATGGCAAGCATTTATCCACTGAGCCATCTTCCTACTCCTCACCCACTGATTCCTATTTCTCTAGTCACTTACACCTGCTTATCCTGTTTCTGGGAGCCTGTTTTTAACTAATTAGTTAGTTAGTTTTGTTTTTTTTGAGACAGGGCTTCTTTGTGTAACAGCCCTGCCTGCCCTGCCTGCCCTGGAACTCTGAGGACAAGGCTGGCCTCAAACTCACAGAGCTCTGCCCACCTCTCTCCCCCCACCCCATCCCTTGTGCCCCCAGTGCTGGGACTAAAGGTGGGCACCTCCACATCTGGCTTGTCTTTATTTTCTAACGCTTTTGGGGAATTGAAAAAATATAAGTAGTCATTTTTTTTTCTGAGATAGGATCTCACTACAGCCCAGGCTGCTAATCCTTTTGGTGAATTAAACAAATCAACATTCGTATCTCTCGCTCTGTCTGTCTGTCTGTCTGTCTGTCTGTCTGTCTGTCTGTCTGTCTGTCTATCTTTTCTGAGACAGGGTCTCACTACAGCCCAGGCTGCTCTAGAACACACAACCCCGCTGCTCCCCCCTCCCCGGCGCTAGGATGACAGGCCTGCCTGTGTACACACGTGAGGTCAGAAGGCAGCTTTCAGGCTTTCAGGAGTTGCTTCTCGCCTTCCACCTTGGGCTCTGGGACTCTTTTTCAGGTCATCAGGCTTGTCCCTCTATCTGTCCACCTTAAATTATTTTAGTTTCCTCCAAGCTGACCTTGGCCTCTTTTCATTGTCAACGTGTGAGTTCTACCCACAAGAATTTAGTTATGGATGACTCCAGCACTCTGCTCATTTTGTGGAACCTCAGACCAGTGGTGTTGCCCCCCTGAGCTGCATGGAAGGAGTGCACATGTGTGTGAGTGTCCACGTCTGTGGAGGCACGCATGTGTCTGTTACCTTCCTACCTGACAGAAGGGCTAGTGTGCTTTACATGTCTCCCCCATCTCAGTGGGCTTGGAGGTTTGAAATAAACCCTGTGGCACCTAGAACAGCTGCTCCAGGCTGGACCCATAGGCCCAGAGGCCTAAGGAAGTCCAGTAGGCAGGTAGGTGTAGGCTTGTGGTCACTTCTCTACATTTCTCCCTCCTTTCAGTTCCTTCTAAACTCATGAGCTGGAAGAGACTGGGATTTCTTCTAACCATAATGGGAGACCGAGGGCAGTTCTGGAGGCGAGAGCATGCATTAGTGTCAGAGGACTCTGTGGTTTACATGCTGTCTGTCTTTAGTGGCCACATCAGCACTGACCCTCAGTTTCTGCCTCTGTAACATGCGACATGTAATTAGTGACGGTATGAGGTCACTAACAGACGGAAACAAGTTTACATATGAAAGGTCTAGAACCTGAGAGCTGTTAGTGGCATGGTCTTCAAGCATGGCCTCCACACTTCTTACCACTGCTGCTTCCCACCCCAGTTCCAGCCCCCAGTCCCGTTCTTACTGGATCAGCTCCAGCACCCTCCTTTTCATGGCCCGGACCAGGTCCCTCTGCCCTTCGAGCTCCTTCTCATACAGGGTGACTCTCCTCTCAGCCTCCTGCTGCTTCTGTTCCAGCATCACTTGCAAATGGGCTCTTTCTTCCTGACACCTGGGAACAGGAGACTCAGTTTTAGGAGAAAGGCTCAGAACCAGTGATGGGAGCGCCTGGAGAAGCCAGCCTACATATAGATACAGCATCTACATATACAAACATACAGAGTCATGTAACACACATGCATTATACATCATGTGTACTACATATTGCACACACTACAAATACCCATCATCTCTCTTCAGTGCATGTGCATGTGTGCACACAGACACACACACACACGAAACATGTATACCACACACTGAACTGAGTACCTATAGACAGATTCAGCAATTGTAGAGAAATAGAAACAGGGCCTAACCTTGAGTGTTCCTGTAGAGGGAGCTACTGAGCATTTCCTTCTCTCCTTTCTGTCCTCCCTCTCCCTTTCCCTCCCTCCTCATCTTTCCTTCCTTCTTTCCCTCCCTCCCTTTTAACATTTCCACTTTAAAACGTAACTCTCTGGAAAGGTATACTATGGGAGACCTGTCTGAAAGCAGGGTGAATGCCTAGCAATCTAGGCTGGGAACACGATGACCAGCTGGAAACGACCGCATGTGGGGAGAGGTGGAGGCCTTGGGGTGATTATCTTGCTTTAAAGTATTTTTAGAAGGTATGTTATATTGTCTTTTCAATTTAAAATGCAATAGGGAAAACAGGGAAAACATGGCTTTCCTAAATTTCTGTCTCCGTTTTGGGTTTGGAACTGCCCCAGTTCTATTCTTGCCTTTTCTTGTTGTTGTTAGTGGTTTTCTAGAAGGTTCCAAGAAGTTGACTAAATTGAAAGTAGAATGGCCTAAGCTTCTCACTCCATGATCTGGTTGGGAGGGTTACTAGCCACAGCAGTGGGTAGATGCTAGCGAGTCTAGGAATCAAATCTAGGGCCTTGTGCCTGCTAGGCAGGTACTCTACCAACTGAACTATACCCCCCACCCCCACCCTTGAATTATTGACTTTTAAAGTACAGCTGGTTAGTGGGTCCCAAGACCGAATGCTGGGTGCACCTTCAAATCTCACCAAGAACCGAACTTCCAAAAGGCCCAGCAGACCTTGTCGGGACTTTTCTTAGTTGCTGACCTCTCGGCTCCTGTGGGGGGTGCTAATCAACATTTTTTCCCTCCTCTAGTTCTCTTGCTTGTTGTGAGCCTAGGTCCTTTTGTGACCACCATGGGGTGGTTGTTGGTTAGGTGGGAGGGAACCCTATAAGACCCCTATTGTGTGCTGGTGGCTATTTTAGGGGCCAGTAAGACGGCTACACCCATGACTCCTGTGGGACTTAGGGTAATTCAGCCAAGTTTAGTGACAGACCCCACCAGAGATCAAGATAGAGACTATAGAAGGTGCTGGGGGAGTCATTTGAGACAATATGGCATTGAAGTCAGCCTTGCAGATGTGTGAGTTGCAGTGGTCTGTCTGCCTGAGTCACTGAAAGAAGTTACTGGGCAGGGATCCCAGGAAGAGGTCAAGAAAAGTAGGGGGGTCAGCAGGGCCCCAGAGGAAGCCACTGGAATCATTCGAGCAGGGGTGATGGGAGCGGATGTGGGAGGGGCAAAGGTGTCTTGAGCCCCTAGTACACGCCAGGCATTGAACACCATAGCCTGTCTCCATTCAGTTTTCACAACGCCATCAAACGGGCAGTGTGAGTCTCGTTTTACAAGACAGAAGCGTAGACAATCGATTGAACAGGGTATCACGCTCGCCTCAGGTCACACGGCGTGGTGAGAGGATCAGAAGTCTGGACACGGTATTGTCTACCAGCTCTGAATTCTTTAGTCTTATCCACACTTTCAGACACCCGGGGCCCTGGTCACCAGTGCTGAGTGGGTAGTGGGTGGGCAGAGCAAATGACTTCCTGTCAAACCTCTCTATCTTTTAGGATGGACTTCCTGGTTTTGTTTGCTGTAGTACACCTGTCTCCTACCCACTCACATCACACAGGTACAGCAAACACAGCCGGTAGAGAGAATGTACCTGTAGAATTTGGACTGGCTGGTGGTAAACCCCTGTCACCAGCTGGATGCCCATGTTCCCTTTGCACAGTGGTGGGCTCAATGCCTGGCTCCTGGGTCTGGGAAGTGCTTGTACATCTGCAGCCGGGAACGACTCTCCACTAACTCTCAGGCCACCCTCTCTCCAGCATGTCACGCCTGACTTCTTGCCCAACAGCCCTCACTTGGAGGTCTGACAGTGTCCCAGGCTTTACAGGTTCCAAGCTCTGCTCTGGACTTCCCACAAGAGTCCATCTGTCCCAGTCTTCCCCACCTCTGAGAATAGTTGTTCCTGACTCTTTCTCTGAGACCTACAGCCAGTCTCCCAGGAATCCCTGCTTCAAAATGTACCCACAAATCAGCAGCTGCATGCCCTCTGTCAGCGGCCCGGGCTAAATACCTCTGCTCTCCTCCTGTTGTGCTGGTTAGTTTTTATGTCAGTTTGACACACGTCAGGAATGAAATCTTAATTGAGAAAATGCCTCCATAGGAGCCCAGATCACTGTGGGTGTGCCCACCCCCAAGCATGTGGTCCTGAATGGCATAAAGCAGGCTGAACAGACCCCGAACGAGCAAGTTGATAATCAGCACATCTCCATGGCCTCTGCATCAGCTCCTGTCTCCAGTGCCTGCTCTCACTTCCCTTAGTTCCACTGTTCTGTGGAACTGTAAGATGAAATAAACTCTTTCCAAGTTGCTTTTGGTCATGGTACTTTATCACAGCAGTAGAAGCCCCAACTAAGACACTTGTTTACCAAGAAGCTTTCTGGAAGTTAGACCTCCTGGGAGCTGCTGATGTTTGCATGAAGGGAAAAGGACCAGCAGGGTGGAAAGCCCTAGGTGGGACTGGGCATAGCAGGTTCCAGGAACATGATGGAGGCCATGTTGGCCCCAGTGGGGTGAGGAAAGAACCCTCTAGTCTTGTTCCATAGGGTCAGCCTGGTCCAGTCTATGAACTGAAAGTAAGTGGGAGAATGACTGCCAATGGGCACAGGCATTCATTCTTCAGGGAGTGACACCAATGCTGTAAAATTGATGGTACTGATGGCTGTACAACTCTGTTACTATACTAAAAACTTCTTTCGAGACAGGTGTTGTTGCTTTTAGAGCCTGTCCTGGAACTTGCTCTGTAGACTATACTGGCCTCAAACTCACAGAGATCTGCCTGCCTCTGCCTCCCAAGTGCTGGGATTAAAGGTGTGTGCCACCACTGCCCGGCTTAAAGCATATATATCAGACCATGCCCTTCCTCTGCTTGGACTCTATAATGGCTCCTGTTCTACTTTGATTTAAAGCCAAGGTTATTTTGATGACTTCCCAGGATCTCTTGAAGATGGGATTGTCCACCAGACTTTACAATTCTCCTTAACCCTGCTGTGCAATCCCCACCTGGGGACCTTTGTCCCTCCTGTTCTGTCCCCTGCCTGGAACATCTTTCTACCTGGTGTCTAAAAGTCTGGCTCCTTACTTCCTTCATGTCTTCATGCAAACTCCAGAGCTTCTGAGAGGCATTCAACGGCCACACCACCCTCTCAAAGTCACAGTGGTCACTTTCCCCATTCTCCTTCCCTATTTCTTTTTCTCTACAGACCTGTACTCCAGGGGCTGGGGAGATACCTTTGCAGGTAAAGGCGCTTGCTGCCAAGACTGACATCCTGAGTTCAGTCCCTAGGATCCACATGGTGAAGAGAACTGACTCAGTTGTTGTCTGACCCCCACATGTATGCCGTAGCACATGCCACATTCACACCCACAATCACGCTCACGTGCACTCATTCTCCAACCTAAGCATAAGATAAACAAATAATAATAATAACAACAACAGCAAAGCCACCTCAAACCATTGCTCTGTATTTCCCCTTCAGATTCCTACGTACTGCGAGCAACATGAAGGCAGGGATTTTATGTTTTGCCCACAAGAGTATTTTGGTTTTAGAATGGGCGCCCATAGTGTTTTGGAATGAGTGTTTTGGAATGACTGAGTGACTGGTGGCAGGGAGACAGAGGTCTGTGAGACAGTGCCCTCCAATACAGGAAGAAGTTTGATGCTACAGCATTTCTCTGGAGCCTCTTAGCTGCTTCTACCAGTTTTTTCTTGAAGCCACAGAGGCTCTTGCATGGCCAAGACCCCCACTTTCACTTAAGATCTGAGTCACCAGAGTATTTGCTGGTCTCAGGAGCAGTTCGGGTGGGGAGTATTGGGTGGAGTCCAAGGGGCTTTGGGTTGGAGTCTGGGCTCTCAGCTGTTCAATACACAGACAGCAAACTTCCCAGTGATTCAGCATGAGTCACAAACACTCAGTTTGTGGCAAGGGTGGGACTGTTCCCTGACCTTGCTTGGAGAAAGTACTATGTGGTCCTCTAGAGACAGAGGCAGCATGCAGACCCTTGAAGACCAAAGGCAGGCTCTGGAAGGTCTTTGCATGGAGTAGACTTTTAAAACAGGAAGGGTTGTGACAGATAATGCCTTTGGGGCCATGAGATCAAGGCAAAGAAGGGAACATGGAGCTACTTGGTAGAGAGAGAGAGAGAATGGAATTTAGCCAGTTCTCTGTATCTGTGTCTCTGGTTTTAACCAACCATGAATTAAGAACATTAAGGAACAAAAACAAACAAATAAAAAACCTAAGCTGTATGTTTTGAACATGTCTGATTTTTTGTCTTCCTATGGCTCCTTATACAATGTAGTGGCACAACTATTTTCACAGCATTCAGACCAAGTTATGGAGGTTCCTATAGCACAGGGAGGATGCTTGGTATTTCCCTGCAGACCCTACACTATCTTTATGCAAAGTACTTTAACAGCCATGGGTTTCAGTTTCTCTTGGGGTCCTGGGACCAACCTCCTGTTGATGTAGAGACTGTGTTAAAAACAAAAACAGCAAAAAAAAAAAAGGGGGGGGGACTGAGGATGTAGCTGGCTTGGCAGAATGCTTGCCCAACAGACACAGAGCCTTAAGTCTGATCCCTAGTACCACATAAACCGGGCACATCAGTCCGTGCCAGGAGGACCCGAAGCTCAAGCATTCTTAGTTACATGACAAGTTTCAGGGCAGCTGAGCTATGTAACAACAACAACAACAACAAAAAATTGGCTGAGGGAGCCAGGCATGGGGGAGCAGGATTGCCCGTCTCAGCCCTGAGAGACCGAGATGAAGGACCGCAGATTGGAAGTGAGCATGAGCTGCATGGAATGACTAAACAACAACGCAAAACAGCAGGGAAGCCCACTGCTGTAGAATCAGCCACAGGGTTTGGCTCTCAGGGTCTCTCTGCTAACAAGCTGACATTGGGTGACTTATGTTAAGTTCTGGGTGAATGGCAGCCACTGTTATGGCTATCAGGAGGCCAAAAAGGCTGAAAAGGTTGTATAGCAGAGAACAGTAATAATAACAACAAACTGAGGGACAGTTTAAAATGAGGGACAAAGCCAGGCACAGCAGTTTATGCCTGTTATCCCAGCACCCAGGAGGCTGAGGCAGGAGAATTGTCATAAGTTCTAGGACAACCCGGGCTACAGAGTGGAATCCTATCTTTAAACATCATGTGAGGGAGACATGGTGGAGCCAGAGCAGATTAAGGAGACAGAGGTGCACCCAGAAGAGGCAGCAGGAGCCAGGGTGAAGCATGGGAGGAGCACAGGGATGGGAGGGGATGGGGGGCAGGGGTGTCTCCTGGGGTTCAGGGGAGGCTGGGGAGGAGAGGAACTGTGGACCTCATGGGATCAGGATTGATGCCTAGGCTTCAGTGTCCTGGAGTCGTGCCCAGCACAGCACCCAGTACATTGAGATACTTATGAGTTCTGGCATCCCAGTCACGCTGGTGTTGCCAAGGTTACCTGCTGAGCTGCTCCTGGAGCGCCTGCAGCGATTCTTCCTGTGCCCGCAGCTGCTGCTCCTGGCGCTGGGCATGTTCCTTTGCCAGCTGGAGCTCATACCTGGGGTCCTGGGGACAAGAAAGAGAATGACCCCAGCTTGGGGCCACCAGATGCACTCCCTAGGAGGTTTTAGCCATGCGTCTGGGAGCTGGGTGAGTCTGGGGTTGCCACTTCTTTTCTAGTAATCGCCAAGTTCTTGGACCTGGAAGTCTGGCTAGGAAGGAGGCCGAGAGACATCTTGGAAGCCATCTTGGGAGAAGCATGTCAAAGCTTTTTTGGGAGAAGCATGTCAAAACGTGACTAGTCCAGAATAGGACAAAAGAGCTTAGACACTGGGAGACCTTTGCCCTCGCAAGTGAGCCTGAACTTTGTGACCCAAAAGGCTCGCGGGGATGTGGTCCCTAACTCAGTGTTGTCATGGCTAGGCAGGAAGTACTGATGAGTGAAGTAGGTCCTACAGGAAGCGATCATGAGAAGGGGCACCCCGGGACCTGAAGAATGTGTGACTTTCAAAGGGCAACCCAGATAGTAACTCCAAGAAGACAAGCCAAAATTGATTTGTAGAGCTCTGTGTGAAGGCATATACCAATAACCCCAGCATTTGGGAAGTCAGAGGCAAGATCAGGAATTCAAGGGCATCCTGGCTTTATAGCAAATCTGAGGCCAGCCTGAGTTACAGAAGGTCTTTTCACACACAACCCCTTGTACCGACCTGTGGGCTGCAATGGTGGTAGATCCCTTAGTGGCAAACCAGGTTAGAAAGTGAGCAATAGATAGGTACCTTGACCACCTCCTGCAAGTGCACTTCCGCTTGGTCCTCCTGCCTGGTCACACTGGTCACTCCTGTCCACTCTTGTGGCTTCTCTGTGGTAGAGCCTTTCTTTATTCCTAGGCCTTGCAGGACCCAGGGCTGCCCCAGAACACAATCCTGATCCCACCCCTGCCTGTTTCCTAATGCTGTGTCTTCTACCCTTTCTTGAAGGCTGGGGGCCAGCACCCCTTGGTCATGGTCCCAATCTGATGCCCTTTCCTGGGTCCCTTCTGTTACTCTCTGAACTTTTGTCACTGGCAGACTTGATTTGCCTTCATCTTCCATTCCTGCCACCTCCCTTTGAGTCTCCTTAGCCCCCTCCCTCTGTGGTTGGCTGCTGGGTGCTGAATTCTCCAGGGATTTCCTGTTCTTTGGACTTCCCTCCTTCAGGTCTAGCCGAATTCCCTCCCCTTCTGTTTCCCAAATGCGCTGGGGACAAGTGAGGCTCCTAGAATCCCCTTTCTTCTTTTCCAAAAAGGTGGGAAGATGGCCATGTTGCAAGGGGGTGGGGAGGTCATTGTGGCGGGCTTCTCTGGGTGCATCTTGTAGACAGCTGGTTCCATGGGTGTCTGGTCCCTGTAGTTGTCCTGTGAAGCATCCCACCTGTAGAGAAGTCCCATCTCAGCGTCTGGTCACTGATCTGGGACATAGCCCTGGGCCAACATGGTTTGCTTCTTAGTGGATTCAGAGGTCTCCTACTGGGAAAGTCACCAGAGCCGAGATAATCTCAGGCAGCACCCCCAGGAGACCCACAAATCTGTGCTAAAGACCGGCAGGTATCTCAGTTCCTCCCCTCCCTGCCTCCAGCCAGTGGCATCACCATCTTCCACCTGGGTTGATCTTGTCTTCCCCCACTGAATTCTTCCTCTACCTTCTCCTTTCACCTTTCCTGCTCTGCTTGGTTTTGTGTTTCTGCGTCCTCATCTCTAAACGGGGAACAAGAATTCCTAGTTTATACAATGGTGATGGAATCTTAAACAGACAAGTGACTACTCTCAAGAAATCTCTCCTAGTGGGGATGTATCTCAGTGGTAGAACATTTGTCTAGTATGTGTGGCCTTGGATTCGATCCTTGGCATAGCAGGGGCAGGGGAGCCTTCTCTGTGATCCTGTTTTTCCCTTGACCATATCTGTACACTATAGTCATCCCTTGATACCAGGGGAGTTGGCTCCAGAACCTCAAACTGGTGCTCAAATATCTGGATACTCGAGACTCTTCTTTAGCATGGCGTAGGGTTTGCCAATAACCAATGCACATCCCCCAGTAAGCTGAAGTCCTTTTTAGATGACTTTACTACCCCACACGGTGTCAGTGCTATGTAAGTAGTTGTATACTGCCTTGTGTGTGGGACTCTGAGGGAAAAAGAATTCACAATGTTCAGAACCAATGATATCTTTTTTTCTAAATATTTTGTATGCGGGGTTGGTTGAGTCTACGGATGCAGAACCCACGGATGTGTAAGGCTGTCTGCACACTTAGCATAGACTGCAGTGTATTCCTGATCTGTCTCCATGAGTAGCCCTTGAACTCTTTCAAGGTCTGAGACTGAGTCCTTAATGGTGCCACATCTGGGGTCTGGAAGCTCATAGAAGGATGACAACCTTCAGCTGCCACATGAGAACAGAGCAGGAGACTTGTGCAGAGTTGCATGGGGCTGTCTCGAGCCATCTACACAACTCCCCTAGGAGGCAGGACAGGAACTCACCGAAGGGCCTTTAGCTGAGTTTAGGAAGGGGTAGAGCTGGGTTGTGAATTGAGAAATCAGGCTCTTTAGTCACTTCCCTAACTGCCATGGGCCAATTTGAACACGCAGCTCGGGGGTTTCAGTAGAAGTGGGCTCCGTGGTCTGTTTCCTGCAAGCCTCCAGTCACCCCTATTGTCCTCTCCCTTGAGAGCTCCAGTAGGTCCTTCAGCTCCCTTGTTCTCCTTCTTCCACCCCCTCCCAGAACAAGACCGCTTCCCACTCCCTGCTCCCCGCTCCCCGCTCCCTGCTCTCCCATCACTGGCTTCACACACTGCTTCCACGTCTGTTCTGTTTCGCTCTCTGCACACCCACAGGAGGCCCTGCTCAACTCAGGAGTTCCAGCAGATTTAGATGACCAAGGAGCAAGTCAGGGTGAAGGCAGGCAGAGGCACCTCCTTTGGGAAAGCCTCAGGCTTTCTGGGTCTTCTTTCCTGGGTCCGACTGGGATTGGAGCAGCGGGACCTGAAACCAAGAGGCAGAACAGCTGACGTCTTTAGTTGGCTTGGTCCTTTAGTGGAGGCGACCCCAGCTTTGGAGTCACTCGTTCAGACCGCTACCCTTCCTGTTTTCCACCTTTCCCCCGAGTGGTTCCCTTTCCCCACGTAGCCAACCATCCGATGCTCCATCTGTATGTCCATCGCCTCCTAGCATCCCATCACCTATCCATCCTTCTCACTTTCCACCCTGCCATTTCGTCTTTAGAAGCATGGCCTAGCTTGAGGAAAGAGAAGGCTAGAGAGTGGTGTTGGGGGAAGTCCTGTGCATTTGTCAATAAAACACTGCTGGCCAATAGGGAATCAAGATAGGTGGGACTAGGAGTCCAGAAGGACTCTGGGTAGGAGAAACACAGAGAGTCAAGATGTAACGCCATGTCGTAGGAAGCCCGGAAACTTCTCCGGTAAGAGACATACTTAGATTAACAATTATGGGGGTAGTTACTTAAGTCAGAGTTAGCCAGTAAGAAACAAGCAAGGCCAACAGCTTCATAATTAATATAGCCTCCTGTGTGTTTATTTGGGACTGATGTGGCTCTGGAACCAGGCTGGCAGGAAGGCTGCCAAAGAAAAGGCTTCTCTTTACAGAATGGGGTCAAGGATCAAGAGAGGGAGGGAAGCAGGCTTTAAAGAGGGTAAGCAACCAACATTTCTACCCAGATATGGCACTGTGAACCACAATAACCAACATGTCATGATAACACTAAGGGTGTAGTAGTGCTTCACATACCGTGATCATAACCAACAGCTCTCTAATAGGAATTAAGACATGCTCAACAAGAGAGAAATCATGCCTGGTACGGGAAACCTTGCCCACTACCACAGGGGTCATGAACTCATAGATCTTGGAGAAGAACCTACAACCATCACTTTACCAAACCAGCATAATCCCTAGCTACATTCTAAATATTTGTCCTTATATACATAGATCAGAGTAGTCCTTACCCCTCATCAAGGAAACTTGTCTTTGCAACAGATGAGAATCATTACAGAAAACAACAACCAATACATATACAATACGGCTACATGTAAGACTCTGGGATCATTGCTGAAGAGGGAGTTGAAAGATGAGCCAGAGGGTCAGGGAGTTGGCTTTGAGGCTGTATCTTTTAGGAATGTCAGAGTCTACACCAATAAAATCTCATCAACATGAATACCTAAATATGAACCAAACAAGGACAATAACAATAGACATGATAATATGAATGAGGGAAAGTTCATGAGGACTCACCCCTACAAAAAGAATTACAGGCAAGTAAGGAATTCTGAGAGCAGGAGAAACAGTCTTCCCACTGATTGGTTATCTAATAACAAATGGTTATCCCTAAAAACACACATACAAATAACATTAAATTGCTTGTGTGTATATATCTCACAGCAATTAATGAAAAAGGAGCCCATGAATTTGAAGTAGGGCAAGGAAAAGTATATGGGAGGGTCTGGAGGGAGAAAAGGGAAGGGGGAAACAATACAATTATAATCTCAAAACAAATTTTTAAGGGCAGGAAAGAATGACTTAGGTTGGAGGCTGAGAACCACTCACTCTGAGAACATGGGCCAAGCTTCATCCAGGTCTGGGCGCTGCAGATCCAGGTTGAAGGTAACTCCATTGAGGGCATAGAGAGAGTCCAAGATGTCTTCCTGGAGCTCAGGGCACAACAGAGGGCTCCGGGGTCCATACCATTCCCTGTGTGAAGAGGAACCAGCACATTTGGCTATTGCCACTCTTGACCTCTGAGGATCGGCACACCACAGGGGACCTTCCCTGGCAGGGTGTGGCTGAGCTCAGCCTTGGAGAACAGAGGTCCAAGCCAAACTGAGGAGTCTTAAGCCCCTTCGCTTTTCTGACACCCTTTCCCTTATCCCTAATGGCCAGTCATCCATTTAGGGGTGACAGAGGGTAGTGAGCTCAAGTGTCACATAAGGGATGATGGCTTGGCAGTCCTACCTAGTGAGATCTGGGCTCAGGAGGCACAGCTGCATTGACTCAGCCAGCTGTCCACGGGCGAGGCAGAGTCGGATAAAAGCGCGACCCTTTCCCAGAGAGGTCTTCAGCTGCCGGGTGTGGGGAGGACCAAAGAGAGGGCGAAATCAGGATGGGGAGTTGGGCCGAATCAAAGAGAGCACAGATGGGAACAAGAGTGGAGGAGAAAGAGGGGGCCAAGGTTGGAGGAGAAATGTGTGGCTGGAGGTGAGGCTAGGAGGTCCAGTGAGCGGTGAGGAGCAGGTGAGAAGCCTTCTGCTAGCAGAGCAGGTATGAGTGGTGTATGAGTGACAAGGGACCCAGGGAAGGGGTGTATGTTTGCCTCTGGTCATTCTTTGTCCAGTGCTGGTACCAGAGCTTTCCTGTGCTTCCAGAGTGCATCCCCTTCCTCATCTCCCGCTCCTGTTACCTTGTTCTGTGAGCACACAAAGTTGGTCTGCTCCGTGTATCCCCGATGCTGCCGCAGAGCAGTGATCAGGAAGTCCCAGTAATCCTTCCGAGCCCCCAGGAAGCTCCTGTGCTCTTTCTGGTCAAACTAGGATCAAGATGAGGGAAAGGAATGTGTGCCAGGGGTTCCTTCTGGAACCTCCCTAGCACCCTGGCTTTCTGGGAAGGCACTGGGGAGAAGAGAGGGCTCCTGTAAACAGGCTTTTTTTAGGGAGGGATCTGGTTCTGCCCTTACCGGCTGTGTGATATTTGCTTTCTCTGAGCCCGACTTCACACTCATTCATTCACAAACTGACCTCAGAAAGTTTACATCTTGGTAGGGGAGTCAGAGGATAAATACATTAACTCCCCCCCCCATCCAAGACAGGGTTTCTCTGTAGCTTTGTAGCCTGTCCTGGGACTCACTCTGTAGACTATGCTGGCCTCGAACTCACAGAGATTCACCTGTCTGTGCCTCCCAAGTACTGGGATTACAGGTGTGCGCCACCACTGCCCGGCTACATTGAGTTCTTAAAGCATGTGTTAGATAGTGATGGTGGCCGTAGAAGGAAAATGAAAAAAAAAAAGAAAAAGAAAGACTAGAAAGAGTGTGTGTGAGCTGGGTAGTGGTGGCGTACACCTTTAATCCCAGCACGCGGGAGGCAGAGACAGGCGGATCTCTGTGAGTTCGAGGCCAATGTGGTCTACAAAGCTACAGAGAAACCCTGTCTGGAAAAATCCAAAAAGAAAGGAAGGAAGGAAGGAATGTGTGTGTTTGTGAGAGAGAGAGACAGAGACAGAGACAGAGACAGAGACAGAGACAGAGAGACAGAGACAGAGAGGCAAAGAGAGACTGAAATTTTAGCCTGAGCAAGCCTTCAGACCTGAGGGTCATGTGAACAGATACCATGCAAGTATCTAGGGAATAACATTCCAGACAGAGAAAATGCAAAGATAAAGGCCCCTAGACAGGTGCAATCCTGGTGTGCTATGAGGGTTGAGACAGAGCAGCAAAACTGCAGCTCACTGTCCTGAGGTGAAGTCAGAGGAGGGATCTTTGTGTTTATAGGAAGATGGTAAAAATGAGGAGAGAATTAAGACTAGTCCTAGCTTCTAGGAGACAGTTTATGTCACGAAAGACTTGCTCGCTGAGCAAGGAGACAGGGCCTGGGAACCGTGGAAGACAGTGGCTTGGGTATATGTGGGAAAGCTCTCCTGAGTATTCAAAGTTAAGGAACAGGGTCAAGAAAGAGAGGGAAGGTGGGTGGTCCCACCTGCAGCAGCAGCTCCAGGCAGCCACAGAGTCTATGTAGCTCCGCGCTGGTGTCTGTCACTGGCCCCTGCCCTTGCCCATATCCCTGGAGGATGGCAGAGACAGCATCTGCAAGGAGGAGGGTAGACGGCAAATATCAGAGAGCCCGGCATCGAAGGAGGATGCTCTCCAGACCCCTCACTTCTTTTTTTTTTTTTTTTTTTTTTTTTTTTTGGTTTTTCGAGACAGGGTTTCTCTGTATTGTTTTGGAGGCTGTCCTGGAACTCGCTTTGTAGACCAGGCTGGCCTTGAACTCACAGAGATCCACCTGCCTCTGCCTCCCGAGTGCTGGGATTAAAGGCGTGCGCCACCAACGCCCGGCTCAGACCCCTCACTTCTTCTGCAGCTCACCCCAAGAAAATCTGACAGGGCAGACTCACTTTTCAGGTTCCCGGTGATCTTTAGGATGGCCCCCTCTTCTGCCATGGAGACTGGGAAGTGATGTGATTCTCTGTGGTCCCCTGGGTTCAGCCCACTTTCCTTATATAGAGATGGGTGAGAGTCCAGAGTTGGGGGGGAGATGAGAACATACCGGGGTCACACAATGTGTTCACCGGCAGAATGAAAAACAACTCTTCCTTCTTTTCTTTCCTTTAAATTTTTTTAAAAGCAGGGTGGTGGTGGCACAAGCCTTTAACCCCAGAACTCGGGAGGCAGAGGCAAGTGGATCTCTGTGAGATCAAGGCCAGCCTGGTCTACAGATCGAGTTCCAGGACAGGCTCCAAAGCTGTAGAGAAACCCTGTCTCAGAAAACAAAACAAAACAAAAAATTTAGAAATGGTTTACTGAGTATACCTCGATGAATCCAAGTTCCTTCTTGAAGGCCAATGTATAAAGATATGAATGTGGCCCCCACTTACCAGTTCATGCTTGGTGTTGGTCACCCTGATCATTGCGGACGTCTTTACCTCGCTGACTTCCCTTGGTAGCCCTCAGTGTGCACTGCTACACAAGATGACTGGGCACAGAGAGGGTAACTCTCAATCCAGCATCACAAAGCTATAACCTGAACTCAGATCTGTTTACTTGATATGAGCAGAAAGCCTGTGCTGTGTGGACACCCAGCTAGGGAACTATTACCTCTTCTCCTCTGGCCCTTAAGCCTCAGCTGTGTGTCATTGCCTTGAGACCTACGTTCATCCTTTCCAGGGCCCCAGCTGAGTGGAAAATGTGTGTTCCCTGGGGAAAGCAGCAGAAGTCGAGGTGCAGAGTTGGGAATGATCCTGATGTTGGGTGTGAGGAGTGCAGTGCCTGGGTTTACCCCCAACATCCTCTCTCACGGGACTCTCCTTCTGCCTCCAACTGATCCTGGGACTCAGAGATGGGCACTGCTGCTCTTGAAGGATGATGAGCTTAGGCTAGGGTCCTGGCATTAAAGACAGGTTCAGGATGAAAGCCCAGGTATCCGGCGTCCCGGGCAGCAGTGATGGAATTTGTGGGTGGGGTAGCAGCCCTATGGCAGTGGATCACAGGGAGAAAGAAGAAAAGAGAGAATAGGAGAGTGCATGGGGCTCAAGGATGAGGAGTCAGAGGACACAGGGCCACCCTGGACTTGTTGCTTACTCACTGTGTATCTTCCAACAGTTCACTCTGTCTCAGACCCCAGGTTCCTTATCTGTAGACCAAAGATTAGACAGAAGTTCTCTATGGACCTTCACGATTCTTCTAGCCCATCCCCAAATCCAGGGATTCCCGGTGCTCACCTGAGAAAAGCCTGCCCGGTTGGGGTGTGGGCAGCAGGGTTCTGCAGCCTGAGTATGTCCCTTGTGACTGTGGACTCTGCACAGCCCTTCCCAGCTCTCCTGCCTGGGGAGTGACTCAGGCCCAGCCTGCAGAAGGCTGGGCCAACCCTGGTCAGGGAGAATTAGGAGAGAAAGATTAGGGCCATTGAGGCAGAAGGGTGGCTCCCTCAAGCTGATCTTGCATAGGGCCTGCTGGTGGTCAAACACAAACCCAATAGAGGTCTCCTTTCCCGGGCACCTGCTCCTGTCTTTCTGTCTTGTTGCCAGCAGATGGCAGGAAGAGGCTGGCCGAGGCGCTACCGTTTCTCTTTGGCTGTTTTCCTGTCACTGGACTGGAGGTGGGTGGCACAGGTAGAGAGAGGACAAACGACCACCAAGTATCTTCCCCTCTTCTTCACCCCAGCCAGCTGAGAGATCCTTGTCAGTGTTACGGTGCCTTCCTTCCAGCCCTAGTGCACACTTCCCGGGGACGGAAGCGAAACGATCCGTGAAGCCACAGGTGGGCTACTCTTGTAGGGTGGCCTCTCTTCGCTGACCTCGCCCAGCTTCCTGATCCTGGGGTCATCCTTTTTCTAGGCTAGGCTGGCCTGGGGGCTGGTCTGGGTAACTGGGAATCGATGGTTAGGGACTTCTTGAACTACTTTTGCAAGGTAGACGAACCACCTGTTAACAGGGCACGAAGCGATCCCCAAGCCTGCTGTTCTCTGTTCCACGTCCCGCCCTTCTTCCCGGTGCAGAACTCGATCCCCCCACACTCGTCGTCCCTGCCGCCGTCTCCGTCCCCGACAGATCCCTTCTCTGATGTCAGTCTCCCAGTCGCTCGTTGCTCACACCGGCGCTCTTTCTCGCGCTCCTAGCTCAGCCTGTCCCAGGGACTCCGCTGTCGCCCGTGCCGCGTTCCCGCTCCTTCGGGTCCCCTCCCCACCGTCTGCCTCCTTCGTCCTTGTCGCCGCCCCTCGCAGGGCCCCCGCACTCCCACTGCCTGGCAGAGCCGCGGCGGAGGCGGAGGCGGACTCCGACGGGGCGGGCCGGGGGCGTCGCCCTCCTTCCCCGCGTCGCAGACGCCCTGGGCCAAGAGGTCGCTGGGGCTGGGGGCGGGCCGGCTCGCGGGTAGTCCGCGTCCCCGCCCCGGGCCCGTCGGGCGCCCGGCCGGATGGGCTGCACCGTGAGCCTGGTGTGCTGCGAGGCGCTCGAGCCCGCGCCCCCCTGCGGCCCGCAGTCCCCCGGGACTCCGCCGGGCCCTGAGCGGCCCCAGCGTTGTGAGCCCGGGGGTGCGGTGCGAGCCCAGGGGAGGCAGCTGCTGCTTCAGGTAGGGTGCTGCGGGCTGGGTGCGGGCAGCGGGCGCGGCAGAGCCCAGTCCACCTGGGACAGTAAGGAGTCTGGGAAGGTGTGAGTTGGGACGTGGGAGGGCCCTGCACCAGTTCCGTGGAGGTCACACCTGGGGTTCTGGTGTCCTTGAGCAGAGGGTGCCTTAGAAGGGCAAATACCTGTGAGGTGTTGGGGGCAGGGTTGTGACCCAGCACTATCGAGCTCCAGGCGGGAGGATTATAATCCAAGGCCAGCATAATGAGATCGTTTCTCAAATAACCCGAACCCGACCCAAACCTAACACACAAAACAAAAACAAACAAGAAAGAGGAAAGGGAAAGTGGCCCAGAGAGGGAGCGGGAGGCAGCAGGCAATTCGTTCAGGTGAGAATTTGGAACCACCAGAGGGTGCTGGGGCAAGGAGGGAGAGTAACATCCCCTTAGCAGAGTGGTGGCTGTCTTGGTCTCTTCTACCTTGAGGAAGGGGCTGTCAGGGTCAGCCAGGCCCACCGCAGGGTGTGAGGAGGTGGGTGGGACAGAGGCAGCATCAGGGAAGACCGAGGCACGGGGGTGAGGGGTGGCCTTTAGTTCTGCATCCCCGTTCTCTTGCCTTCTTTTCTGGCTGAGTCTTGGAACCTGGATGTGGGGAATGACCAGAGGTAAAATAGCGATGACCAGAGAAGCAGGCGCTTGATGTGGGTGAGCAGGCTGGCAGGACACCCCAGGCTTTGCATAGGTTCTGCATTCTTCTGGAGAAGGAAAGTGTTTTGTATTAGTAGGGGGGCTGTCCAGCTCTACTTCAGCCCCTGCAGGACCACAGCCTCCCTCTCCATGAGAGCAGGAGGAGCAGCTTCATGGGATTGTATGCTGAACTATGCTCTGGGTGAAACAGGGGTCCTACAGCTCTTTCTCCACGGGAGGCCAGCAGAGTCAGGGTTGACTCCAAATGCACCCTGCAGACGCATCCCAGCTCCTCCTTGTGGACAGCAGGGAGGCCAATGTGGCTGTGTGTTCGTGTGTTCTTATGTATGAACGTGCGAGAGTGTGTCAAGTGCCTAAGAGGCCCCTCTGCACCACTTGACTCGCTGTCCCTCTAGGGCACAGATGAGAGCCTACTTGTGGTTATCTGTCACAGCCACAGGTATGGGGTTGGGAACTTGTAAATAAAATGCTCTATCCTGCAAGGCAGTGGCTAGGTACAGTGAGGAACAGGTTTGGGGATGGAATTGTCATCTGTGTCTCAAAGTGGCTGGTGCCCTAGCTGGATTCTCATGGAGCCTGGGGGGACGACTTAGGGAGCCTGGGAGTATGAATTGAGCGTCCCATGTTACTGGTGATGGCAGAGAACTGGGGTGACATGCTAGAGTTCTTAGAGGACAGATCCCTCCAGCGTCATTAGGATAGCTTTCCTCCACCCACCCACTTACCACCCTTGGCTCAGAGCTTTCCATTCCTCTGTCTTGCAAAGTGTCCAGGGGAGGTGAGGAGTGAGGACTCAATGGTCCTTCCTATCTCAAATCCCGGGCTTTGCCTTGGGGGTGGATCTGAGCTGCTCCCTGGGAGCATCTCAGACTCCAGGGCACACTGTTGTTCTTACCTCCTGCTTGGCAGAGACCATCCACTTCCTTGTTTTGCTGCTGCTTTTCAGATAGATCCCCAACCTTTCTCCTCTCTTTCTGTCTGTGGGTTCAGGTCTTTGACTCCCTCCCACTCTCCCTGCAGTCAGCCTTGACATAGTGGGGGATACCCACTGGGCATGTAAGGGTGGGCAGGGATGGATAATTGGGGCTGAGATTCGGGAGAAGAACCAGAGGCACTGGAGGTTGGTGACTCAGGAGAGGAGGAGGGAGGGAGGGATTTGTGTGTGCCCTGTGTGACAGCGACAGGGACAGGGATGTCTGTATTGGGGGACAAGTGTCTGTCTGCATTTGGATGAGCTGGTTTTCCAGTGGCCTCTTGGGAAAGCTTGCTGTGACTCATTCCCTCCCTTATCTGCATGGATAAGGCTCCCTCTCAGCCAAGTGCCCAGGTCCTGGCTCAAGCAGGGGCTGCTGGGCCGGCAGCTCTCTTGCTTAGCCAAGACCCTATTTACAGGTAGCTCTCAGGAGACTACGCAGCCCAGTAAAGAACGAGGAGCCTGTGCCTATCACTGGGGCCCTTGCTGGAGGAGGTGTGATACTCACGCCCTTGTTCTGGATAAACATCTCTTGTGCTCTCACCCTCCCAGGAACCCAGCTCAGAAGCTACCAGGCATCTGGGCTGGTAGCCAGGGCCCTCCTACTGCCACAGACACGTGCCAGCCGCCATTCCTGCCTGGCCCATCCCATGGGCCGGCTTCTTGCCCGGAGGCAGACTGGGCTCACGTCTCTGGCTCCCTTCTCAGCCTTGCTGTTCGGCCCATGATGCCCCCTTTGCCCACTGTGGTATCCCTGTCTCCTATGCAGCTGCCTTTCTCACTCTGCTGAGTTGCCCCCTCTTGCTACCCCCACCCACTCTGTCTCCACGGCTCTGACTACACTAGCAGGCCTGCATCTGAGACCTGCCCCTCCTCCCCGTCTGGAGGGTGCTGCCTGCTTTCACTGTCTTGAGTGTGGGTTCTGTGCCCTCAGCTGACGTATTTAATCAGTAATTTTTAAAAACGTGTTTATTTTGTGTGTGCGTGTTGCGTGCACATGCCATGTGGAAGTTAGAGGACAAGCCGTGGGAGTCACGTCTCTCCTTCTGCCTTGTGGGTCCTCAGGACCACACTCATGGCATCAGGCTTGGCAGCAGGTGCCGTTACCTGCTGAGCCATCTCATGACCCTCACAGTTTGTGCGTACTGAGACCTCCTGAGTTTCCTTTGGGGGCCAAAGAGGAAGGAGGGTAGGGACTGGCATCCCTCCTGAGTGTTCCCGCCAAGATTCTCTGACCTGGGCGCCAAAGGGCCTGGCAGGCATTTCTAGGTGCCAACCTCGCCTCCTCATTCTGTGCTGTATCCAAGACAAGTGGATGCTTGTCTGATGGTGGCGGGAGCCACAGAAAGAGAATTCAGGCTTATTCTTCTCTCCGAAAGCCGTCTTTTGGGGTTACTCCTCTGGCCTTGCGATTCTCTAAGCCCAGAGTCCCTGAAGTTTAGCAGACCTGCAGTAGTCCTTGATGTAACATCCCACAGGACGGCCAGTTCTGTGTCTAATCCAGCTCCCGGTCCTGCGGTTGGGTCACTTCCTTTTCTTCTGCTTGCTAGAATTCTAGGGCTCCAGAGCTGAACAAGACCTTAGTCTGTGGTCCTGAAGCTGAGGTGGCCACAGCTCCTGGTGAGAATGTGATGGAAACGATGGATGCTCTTGTCAGGGAGAAGTGTGCACCTGCCCACACAGCTGCTGCATGCACAAACACTGCCATACATCTCTCCAAATTTACCCTGGCTCTGCTCCATCTGCTGTGTGTTTCACCAATAAGCACCCCAAGGCTCAGAGGAGGGAAGTGACTTGCCTGATGTCACACTTCATGTGAATGCCAGAACTACTGCTTTATCTCAGGTGTCCTGGCCCCAGAGGGTGGGAGTTCTGTCCCCAAATGCAACTTTTGCTTTTTTATCTCCTGCCAGATAGGAGCCCGGCTGCTCATTTGCTCCGTGTTGATTCAAGTAGTTTTGAACAAGTGGCATCAGGTGAGAATCTGGGGACAGGGCAGAAGTCAGACAGCACGTGCTCTTGCCCCAGGGGACTGTCCATTGGGTGGGAGAGATGAAGATGACTGCAGAGAGGACTCGAACAAATGCTCCTTCCCTGGTAACAGTGCCGGGTGTGTGTGCGTGTGTGTGCACCTGTGTGCACATGTGTGTGTGAGTGTGCATGTGTGTGTGTGTGTGTGTGTGTGTGTGGTCAGCCTGTCTTGTGATGATAGTCGAGTGACTGGCAGAAGGAGGAAGTGGTGCTTCCTCAGGGGGCTGGGGCAAAGGCAGGGAAGAGAAAAGATCTAGGGGAAGGAGTGCTATGCTCAAAGGTCCTGGGATGGAGGGTGGTGAGACTTCCCACAGAAGTTTAGACTTTCTGTAGTTGCTCTGGCACCATGTGAGCTCCTTCCCTAGTCCACAGTTATGGTGTGAAAGTGGAGGCCAAGCCAGGAGCCTGGGCAGGTGGGCAGCCTTTGGGGAAGGAGATGATGATGGAGAAGGCAGAGTGAGGCTGAGACTGGGTAGGATGGGGCCCAGGGAGAGTGTGGAGGTAGGATGAGATGGCAGAGTGACTCCTCACATTCCCCAGGTCAGCTAGAGTACTTCCCAGGAGCGTGTATAGGCTCCCTGCAACTCAGACACTTACAGCTTTGTGCTCAGCACGTAGAGTCAAGAAAACAGAACCTGGCCGGGCGGTGGTGGCGCACGCCTTTAATCCCAGCGCTCGGGAGGCAGAGACAGGCGGATCTCTGTGAGTTCGAGGCCAGGCTGGACCGACAGCCTCCAAAACAATACAGAGAAACCCTGTCTCGTAAAACCAAAAAAAAAAAAAAAAAAAAAAAAAAAGAAACAAAGAAAGAAAACAGAACCTGTGCTATGCCTATGATCCTAACTAATTCAGGAGGCTGAGGCAGGAGGATGTGAGTGAAGGCGGAGATTGGGGTATATAGTGAGACCATGTTTCAAAAAAATGGGGGGTTATCTTGAGATACAGCTTCATCATAGAGGACTTGTGTAGGTGTACAAGGCCCTGGGTTTCATCACCAGTTGGGGGAGGGTTGGGGGAGGGGGAAGAAGAGAAATTGAATTTTGCAGCCCAGCACCCTGATGCTGTCCTTCCTGCCTCCCACCACTCACTGATTCCCCCTCAAAGGGTTGTTCACTATCTTGCCTTCTGAC